GATCAATTCGACCACAGAATTATCAAGTAGACCACTTTAATCAAGTTTATCATTTTACTAATCAATAGTTTTGTCACGAAAACTGTTGACCTCAATACTGTTTTTGCATAATGATATATACAAGTATATATGTAATTAAAAATCACTTTGGGTCAAATACCTAACTAATCAATAGTAATTGATTTGAAGTTGAAGAAATAAAGAGGCAATCTTAACCAGGACACATGTTATTCGCATGATTCAAAACACTTAGCGTTTTCACTCATGAATAATGATTAATACAAACAAACCGTTCAAGTAATAAAATATTTGGATTAACAATTTTAATTGTCAATAAATTTGACCATTTAACATGTATATATACATATAGTCTAGATTCATGATTGATAAACTTACCTTCTGATCGATAATTATCATACAAGCTATAAAATAACGGAGAAACAAGATTGGGAGGTAAAACAAACATGTTTTGTGGTTAGGCATTTACATAAAATCAAATATAATAGAAAGATTCTCATACACATAATTCTCTTTATCATTTTAAAAAGAACAAGAACAAAGATTCTAGCAGAGAGATTTTCATGTCATTCATTGAAACTGATTTTTTCAAACAACTTGACAAAAGAGAATAAAGTCTATGTTGAGAATGCTCAAGAATTAGTAGATTCTATGAAGAGATCCTACATGTCCCAGATCATGGTTTTTTTCTATCATAACTGATAGAGGAGGTCAATCCCAGAAGTTTACAGAACTCGGAATTAAACGTATTCGCACGATATCCCAACATCCCATGGCAAACAGTATGGTTGAACGCCGGCACAGACAGTTAAAAGCGTCTCTTAAGACTGTAATTGTCAACAACGATTGGACTAATAAGCCTACTCTAATCATGTTGAATTTAAGAACAACAATTAAACAGGATATTGGATGTTATCCAGCAGAGTTGGTATATGGAACTACTCTACTACTACTACCCGAAGAATTTTTCGCTTCAGGTAAAAGTGTTCCAACTGATGTAGCCAACTACGTGCAACGCCTGAAGAAGCGCATGAACGATCTAAAGATAACACTTCCCAGATTACAACAATGACGAGTGTCCGTACCGCAAGAACTACATAATAGAACTCACGTATTTATTAGGAGAAATAATGTACATCCACCTTCCAGCCGAAGTATGACGGTCCATTTAAAGTGATTACGAGGACAGATAAGACAGTTACCGTAGGAAAAGTTGGAAAGGCAAATGTAATCAACACCGACTGAGTGAAACCAGCTTTCATCGATAACGATCTTCAATCGACAAGTACAGAACCCTAGAAAAGGGTCACACAAAATGAAACAGAATCATCGATGCTAACGAAGCGAAATGAGGAGACTCTGGTAACGACGAGATTCGGCCATAGATTAAGATGGTCGCAACTCTACGTCGCTACAATTTTAAATTGATAATTTCCCACTATTTTGAATAGTAATTATAATTCTTCCCCTTTATTGTGTACATACAGAGTATTAAGCTCATGATATACACTGTAAAACTCGGCATATCTTGTGTACCCTTATATGTATAATTTTTTTAAAATGATACCACATTCCTTTTATTTCTTACCGGTATTTTATATAACTTCAGGGACAGGAACGAACCAGCTACACAGCACATATTAGCTTCATCCAGATTTTATGTAAGCCGTTATCTTCAAACGATCGTAATTATTCTATCCGGTTTACCATTCTTTGTGCAAACACAGACATTTTTTCATATATCTTTGTCTGCAGGAGAGAGTTATTATAGCAACTATCCGACAGCCTATTTCGATTACGGTCAAGCCCTTTTATTAACTTAACAGACAATGTTATTCGAACAGTAACAATTCTCATATTTCTTTGTACCGTTATGATCACTAAAGCACAATGATAAACTCTAGCTAAAATGTTGATTACTTAAATATCACTCGCTGATTCATCCTCCTCCCTACTTATATATGTACTCAAATTCTATTGTTAGTCCCTGCTTTTCCTTGCTGCGCCCTTATGCAGTTTGACTATGTAGTTGGTCGTATATGCTTATTCGCCTCTCCGCTTCAAAATTGCCTGATGTGCTTATAGCTTTGTGATCTGCGCTATCCGTTAATAAACTGTAGTTGCCGTTTCTCATTGCCTTCTGATTTCAAAAACTGTTGATGTTTATGTGACAACGGTTATCGAGGTGATTGACTAACGAAGCAAAGCCACTATCAAGTTTTGAAATACAGTTATTATACAAAATTCTAAAAATTTTTAATAAATATTAATGCTTGACCAAAGCAAGAACAATTAACGTATCAGAATAACACGAATTCTTCTTCCGATATATATTCTTTGGGGCGTACATGTAGACTGGTAGACATAATTGGAGGTAACATAAGGCGGGAATTTGTTCACGCATAACTACGTTAATGAGCAAGTCGTTTGATACAGAGAGACCAGTTTGGCAGCTGGATACGTACATTTTATTATGGCCTTTAATATGAAATCAATCCTTCTAGCTATTTCATAACTTATGAAACCCATTCTTAGGAAGACAGGCTGCTTCTCCATTTACCATGCTCCATCTCCGCTTTAGTCTTCCTATACTTGGTCATGAATTTTTGAGGGTGAATACTATCACATGACGTTCAATTACGGCTAATTCTCCATGAATTTTGTCCTCTGACACGACTGAAAAGCGTTCTAATCAAGGACATCTCGTAGCTAATTGTACAGAAGTTTAAATATATTCCGCTCCATTTGTCCTTGCAACAAATATCTCTCCATTACACTATTTGTATTACGATTCATACCAAGGTCTAGAAAACGGAACACGTTATCATGTCCATATTCCACTATAAATCTTATATTCGCGTGTGCCATATTGAGAATTTTCAGTTTATGAGAAGCGTGCTAACAACCATCACATGCCATAAATATATTATGAAAATACCTGAAGTGAAGATTTGTATCACTGATTACCGATTTCATTACTGTCTGCCCTAGGTTTCCTATAAAGATATCTGCCAGAATTAGACTCAGTGGTCGAACCATAGTCACTCCATTATTCTGAAGATGTAAGACGTTACTGAATTGAAACTGAATATTGTTGTCTTTAAGCCCCGCTAATTATCACGTGACTTATTTTCCAATCAGAATACAATCTATACAATCTTAGCACTGTGCCAAACCAACGACGTATCGACCAGTATAAGCAGCCTAGCCCTACCAGTTGAGTCCAGAACACCAATACCAGCTTCCAATATACGAATCGTTTATTTCAAATATACTTGGTTTATATACAAGCCAAACGAACCACATCACATCATAAAATAGGAAATAACATTTGTACAAGATTAAGCGAAAAAGTGGCTGTGATTGCGGGAGACTTTAATTAACAAACTGAGCATAATTTAAGAATATTAAATCGTATCATAATAGTCTATAGGTCAAAATAAAGCTTATAATAAGAGGAATATAGATATACGTAATTTAGTTTCTGAATAGTTACATAATAAGAATATACGTATAATATTAGTCCATAAATAGTTCTCAGAAGTTAACTATAACTTAATCCTCACTAGGATATAACAAATATCTTTAGTAAGAGCTGCTTAAATTCATTTTTTGGTAGGGAGAGTAGATCAGCCTATTGACACTTTATTAGCACGGTTTCTTCCAGTGGACTGCGGTAAATAATGATAATACATTAAAGGAAAACATGTATTAGAAACGTCAACTTTTTCTAGTATTTAAGTAAACTGAAAGGTGTCTTTTAAACTATAGACAGGAAACTTTTAACAGATCTGTTCCAACTTACTGATAAACGAGCGAGCTTCTGAAACGAAGTATTAATCACTGATAATATTGATCTGTAGGGCCTTAAGTAACTGATCAGAAATCGCGAAATATGTTGAATTCATGTTATTTTGTTACGTTAATAGTTCTTATTTAGTCGAATTCACCAATAGGAAAAATTGTACGGAACCTTAATTTTACCTGCTACATAAACATGCTATTTAAGTTTTGCGTTCACGTTCCTAATTTAATAACACTATCGATAGTAAAAGAAATTCTTTTTCGTTATTCCTTAAAGAATTTAACTTCCTCCGTGTGATTTTTTTGAACTGTGACAATCACCCATGAGTAAACAGACCGAAAAACGTGGACAATCCATATTAGGAATTTAGCTCTTTCTAATTTAATAATTTTGAAATCAAACGTTCATCTTAGCTGACTAAAACTAGATATAATTTCCATGTTAAATATAAAACAAACAAATGCATAAATTAGAGCGCCATAATAGTATTCAGATATAAAATTTCGTTGAACTGATTAAAAAGAAAACCAATCAAATGGTTTTTAATGAAATAAAAGTTGTTGTTCTCTAAAAAAATATGACATCATGTTGATCAGTTCCTACCAACTGGCACGAAGTTATAGAAGATGAACGAAAGTTACATGTTGATTATGTAATGATATTTATTATCAATCAATATTATTTTATTTCGTTAAAACTTTCAATGTATTCACCACAAAATCCAATTCTTTCTGTAAAAAATTAGATTAACTACCAACTTCCTCGAAAATCACCAAACATAACTGATATAAATTACTCTACTTAATTCCGATTTTCGTAGATATTTATGTAGTTCCAAGATGATTATTATCATGATGTAGCTTTGGTTAGAGAAGGATTGAATACGAAAAAATACTAGACACCTGTTTAGTTCAAGTCTTGGTTTCCAACCGAACTTCACATGATTGTATTTTCGGTAGTTTCTAGCAACGAAAATCAGGATACACTTTTCGTCCAATTTAAGACAACTCAATATTGATATTTACATTAAGACGTGAACTTAATTGATGATCATTAACGTAGAAACTGGAATGAATTCATAACGAATTGGAATTGCCACACTTCACATCAATACAATAAAAGAGGAAAGTGACAACGAAAAAAGTTAACAAGATATAATACTAACTATATCTTGAATCCAGTACTCAGGTTGATTACATTTTGTGTAATATACAAACAACATAAAAATGACAATAAAATAACTTCCCAGTTATTTGGAAAGAGCACATATGCATATGCACAACCATTAATTAATTCTACCCAACCAATTAAATTGATCATTTACAACAATCAAGATAAAACAAATATATAAAAAAACAATCAAAGCCACACTAATGTCCTCTATACATACAAATGTATTACATATATACAATGGAAATAAAAGTTCTAAATAAGACTGATAACAAACAGAAGAAAGAGGAATTAAATTTTTGGAAATAAAACAGACATATGATAAATATGATTTCTACAATTATACAACACAAGATCATCTCTACACATAAATTGATATTCCCCCTCATTATAAACAAATGGATTATTTGACTTACTGTAAAAAGATAAAACACTTATAAAAAAGTAAGAGAATAATGATAACAATTGTTTGGCTAACTTCACTGGTTAAAAGTATTTACAATATGTGTAGTCAAAGATGTGCAGTGTATGTGTGTGTGAAAGTGAGAGAAAAAAAGGTTAAATAGTCAACTAGTTGATAACTCTTAAACAGTATCTGACCGTCTTAGCAGACAGAAGGACAAGATAAATCTAGTTATGACTTTCTTTTTGAATATAACTAGAAAAAGGTATTAAGTACATGAATAAGTTCGAGATAATTTTGAAGAAAAAGACTTAGCAGTATTAGTACTAGCTGAAGAAGTTGGCAATGTTGAAGAGGAAGAAATGAATGAATGAAATTTATTATAGTTTAATTCAAAACATGATAAACTTCGATTTGGTTGAAAAAGTAAATGATGATGATTTAATGAGGATCGTGTTTCTTTTACATGATTACTAGTTGGTGATGGTTTCTCCTCGATAACTAATCCTAGAATGACGGTTATGTCACCAGGGACTCCACCTTGAAAAAATGACAAGTGTAAAATAGTGGTTGAATGTTAACATAAATTTACAATATTGAATAGATTTCATTACATCAATGAAAATACTTAATGTCACAGAATAACTTGATAGTTGATACACTTTGATATATTTTACATGCATATATGCCAAAAAAGACTGATCAATTGCAGTCCTTAACATCAATGGGAAGATTTAAACAACCAGTACGAATGAATTAAACATACTCCATTACACAAACTGGATTCAACAGCTCATTGGATAACGCGATGAAATTTAAGCGAATGGTACTAGTTTCGAGTCTCGAAGTGAACACCAGCTCTAAGACACAACTATACCCAGCTGACCGGTCCTAAAAAGGACAAAACGTGCGTCTTGAATTCCATTGCTAATCACTTTCTACGTCTGCTTATCGCCATAAATAGTTGTATCAAATACATCACATGCACTGAGGCTTAAAGTGTTGAGCGGGTAATAATTATAAAATCGATACTGCTTGTTTGACAACGGGAATGGAATAATGGGCACAGTAGGTTTACCTGAAGATTTAAAAAATTCGAATTTTGGAAGAGCTATACGTATATATCTCAGTATTTTGATGGAAAAGTAGCATATGAAGGCTTAATAAGCATACCAGTTATTTGAAGTTCAATTTAGATTAATTTATTGGATGAGAATAAAAATCATTTATGAACCTACATGTTATTTAAAGGCCGATAACAGTTAGTAATGAAATGATTCTAATTTGTTTTGGCGCAATGGGAAGCGCATTCGACCACCAATGGAGTTGACTGGCGCTGGTTGGTGAACTAAGCCCGCCCAGATCGATTCGAAGGGAACCGCAAGCCAATCCAATCGAGAGCATCCACAATGTTCACCTCGTCAATAAAGTCGACAGAGGCTCATTCCTTTAAATTTTATCTCCAAATGCCCATATATGGCCGAGGGTGTAGAGAGTCAGCTCTCTTTCTCTAAATGCTTTCACATGGCCACGTACATACAACAAATGCCAGGAAATTCCTACTCACTGCCTTCTCGTGGCGGGGGCGTTGTTTAGGAAGTTGAGAGAACGAAAAGCGAATGTTCGGCGCTTTAACCGGCTTGGTGAATACGGAGGATCTACCTAGGGGAGTTGGGAAACCCTGGTTCCAAACCAATGGTGCACATGGGCTCCAGGATCCTGAGGAAACAAATGGCGTATGAACTCATTGTTAGTCGCCGGCTGCCGTGGTACTACATCTAACGCTGCTCCACTGCCTTGCAGATTAGACCTCTATGTCAGAGGCTTGGGGTGTGATGCATCCGAAAAACCACCTGTTCCAATTTGGAAATCCGAGCAGTATTTCAGCCCTCACACAAATAGAATGATTTGTTTGGCGCATATGTATTTGTTGAGTGCTTGTACCAACGTTTGTCTAAATAATCGATAAGTTCAGTTATTAAAAATGCAACCAGTAAGAATTCTTTCAGTTAAAGAATTTACTCTCACTGTTATGAAGAAATTAAAATAAAGTTACAGCAGGATCTTCAATGGCTTCTATTCTGACCTATGTCTGATAACGACTCAATCCACTGTGTTGAACTATATCTAGGTCCCCAACCAGGGAGTCGCGAAGAGGCAACATATGTGGAATTGGCTGGTTGACATTCATAAGGCATGTCCAAGCCATCAAAGTAGGTGTTCCAAGATGGTTACACCATCTGAATTATCGTTGCTGTGCCCGGACACACTGCAGTGCTAACATGGTGTTGCCACTGGATGTCAGAAATCCTTCGGAGACAACGATGATCAAACACAGAGAATCGCTTAACATACTCGACTCTCAGAGAGGCCAAGTTTCACAAGCATAGAGCAAAACTGCTCTCACCGATGCGTTGTAGATCTGGCCTTTCACAGCCAGACTAATATCACGAAGGCGCCAAAGATGGCCCAGATTGGCATAAGCCGCTCTGTCTTTCACTATACGTGCATTGATTTCATCACTCACGCCACGATCAGCACTTATGCAGCTACCTAGATACACCAACTTCTCGAGTTCTATCCGCTCACTACCCAGGGTGAGTGCATGACCTGGGTTCTGTCAGTGTTCGGCGCTTTAACCGGCTTGGTGAATACGGAGGATCTACCTAGGGGAGTTGGGAAACCCTGGTTCCAAACCAATGGTGCACATGGGCTCCAGGATCCTGAGGAAACAAATGGCGTATGAACTCATTGTTAGTCGCCGGCTGCCGTGGTACTATATCTAACGCTGCTCCACTGCCTTGCAGATTAGACCTCTATGTCAGAGGCTTGGGGTGTGATGCATCCGAAAAACCACCTGTTCCAATTTGGAAATCCGAGCAGTATTTCAGCCCTCACACAAATAGAATGATTTGTTTGGCGCATATGTATTTGGTGAGTCCTTGTACCAACGTTTGTGTCTAAATAATCAAATCGTAATTACTACCGGAAAAATTACTCTTGCTTCAACAATCATTCAGCGAAATCATATCCACAATCATTTGGTAATATTCGTTTTTCAATTGTTGAGATCATGAGTCAATTGAAGCTAGACCACCATGGAAAACCTGGAAGCACTGGACGGCCGTTTCGTCCTATTGTGGGACCCCTCAGCAGTGCGCATCCACGATCCCGCCTCGCATCATTCGAGCCCAGGACCCACTGGTCTCGCGCGCGAGCACTTAACCACTAAACCCTTGAGCCGGCATCCAACGGTGTTAATGTCTAACTTCAACTAACCCACGAAATTGAGCGACACATCCACCATTGTCATCAGTGAGTCGCTATCTCACAACTGACCCGGTTGAACTCCACTGGTCACTGCTTCTCACTAGAACTCCAGGATATATATTTTGAAGCCAGTCACTAGTGAGCATATGTTGATTAATATCAGAAGGGGGTTTTGTGGAGATTTTAGTAATTTGAATTGTTGAGATCATGAGTCAATTTCTCTTATACTACGTCACTTATCTACTCCATTTTACTTTCATTTGATGTATTCTGTCTTTCAACTTATACAGCAGCTCGCCTATGGTGAAAACCCTATCCTATTTAAACGATCTCAAGTTACTGATTGGTCGAGAGTTGAATGCTTCTACCGACTACGAATACTAAATCAGTCTTTCTGAAACCACGTATATCATTCAAGCTGGCCTTTTTCAACGTTCGCACACTAAAATAGATCGGACAACAGATAGGGTTGACTGTGTCTCTAAAAAATCGCAACATCAACGTCTGTTGTCTATCTGAGAATCTTATTCAAGACTCTAGTGAAGTACTACAAACTCGCTCTCCATCCGCCGATTATATAAGCTTGTTCCCCGAGCAATTGTCGGGGGGGCTGTGTGGCATCTTTACCTGGTTTTGCTGGCGTTCATGTCGCATTAAACGCTAGAGCTGAGGCAACACTAATCGCCTGGATCCATATTAACAATAGACTATGTGATGTTAGATTAGAAAGCTCAATCAAAGTTCGAAGAAATCAGTGTGAGAAACGATGTGTTTTCGTCATATCCGCTTACACTCCAACAGACTGTAGTCCGGATGTAATCAAAGATGAGTCTGACCACCCGTTAAGTGTTCTATAAAACGTGCGTTCGATAGATATTGAAGCACTACCCGAAGACTTGATAGTACAGGTCAGGAGTCTAGGCACGGAAGAGAGTCGTTCGGGTGGCCAATGGAGTCTTGTTGATCGCAGGTTAGATAACAATGACCGTTTACTGCAACTTTGCGCAGACTACAACTTGTTTCTGGTTGACGCTAACTATCGTCACAGTCATCACCGATGCGCTACCTGGATTCCTACCTCTGCATCTCAAACCTGGACTTAGATTGATCATATCGTGATCGGCTACCTTTGGTGTAGTTGTATACAAGACTGCCGCTCCTTTCGGAGTAGTTACCTGGACTCTGACCATGCCCTTCTTTGTGCTAATCTTTTCTTAAGTTTCAGTGGGCAACAGATCTATCGCCCTAAAGGTCGATATTAGTGAAATAGGTGCAGCTTCTATTAAAACTAAATATCAAACCAAGCTAGGCTCAAGGCTGGCTATCAATCCACCAAAAAGTATAGATGAGCACTGACTGTAGTTACGTCTCACTTACAAGCTCTGAATTTCTACAGACTCCTTACAACTCATTGAAGTATGTTGATCTACTCTGGGTGGTCGGTTACGACTAATCAACCTAAAGAGGCGAAATTCCGCAAGGAACTCCTACTCTTGAAGTACCACAAAGCACTAGACCCAAAAGACTTGCTTCCGACCCCTTTTAAAGACGATGGTGACCTTCTGGTTAAGGAACTGACTTGTTTATAGATAACTAGCGGCTAGAGAGTGTTCTAATGTCGTGGAATTAGCCGGTAGTTGTCCCTATTTTTAAAAAAGGTTCACGTCGTTTCTGCAGCAACTATCACGCGATAAGTCTACTATTATTGGCTTCCGTCATATTTCGTAGATTGTTCAAAAACCGGGAAACAATGACTTGTGAGGAGTAGGTTGGTTCCCGTTCCAGTTGAGGATGAATTGATTGTATATTCACAATCTGTAGAATGTTTGGACACAATCACACTTGTTGCAGGCCAGCAATTGTGGTGTTTCTTGACATTAGGGTCGCCTTCCACTCGTTGAATAGGACTGTCCTTTGGGATATTCTACTGAAGGAGGGTATGCCTCAGAAATTTATTAACATCTTGAAGGTCTTTTATACAAACACCTCAGGCAGAGTGAGGGCATACAACCACCTCTCTTCATTTTTTCATTCAACCAGTGGAGTTAGACACGGTTTCGCAGTTTCACCACTTTTCTGCAACTTTGCCATCGATGACGTTATGAAAACAGCTCTGATGGATGTAGGTAATGGTAGTGCGGATCAGTTGCCTGGAGAAAGACTTTTCAACCTTGAGTATGTGAATGATACTGTCTTACTGTGAGAAGTTATCCACGCCATGCAATCTGCACTTAGTCACTTGGCAATCAGTGTCCGCAGATATGACATGTGCTTCGCACCTCCGAAGTGAAAGTACTTCTAAACACTGACAGAACCCAGGTCATGCACTCACCCTGGGTAGTGAGTGGATAGAACTCGAGAAGTTGGTGTATCTAGGTAGCTGCATAAGTGCTGATCGTGGCGTGAGTGATGAAATCAATGCACGTATAGTGAAAGACAGAGCGGCTTATGCCAATCTGGGCCATCTTTGGCGCCTTCGTGATATTAGTCTGGCTGTGAAAGGCCAGATCTACAACGCATCGGTGAGAGCAGTTTTGCTCTATGCTTGTGAAACTTGGCCTCTCTGAGAGTCGAGTATGTTAAGCGATTCTCTGTGTTTGATCATCGTTGTCTCCGAAGGATTTCTGACATCCAGTGGCAACACCATGTTAGCACTGCAGTGTGTCCGGGCACAGCAACGATAATTCAGATGGTGTAACCATCTTGGAACACCTACTTTGATGGCTTGGACATGCCTTATGAATGTCAACCAGCCAATTCCACATATGTTGCCTCTTCGCGACTCCCTGGTTGGGGACCTAGATATAGTTCAACACAGTGGATTGAGTCGTTATCAGACATAGGTCAGAATAGAAGCCATTGAAGATCCTGCTGTAACTTTATTTTAATTTCTTCATAACAGTGAGAGTAAATTCTTTAACTGAAAGAATTCTTACTGGTTGCATTTTTAATAACTGAACTTATCGATTATTTAGACAAACGTTGGTACAAGCACTCAACAAATACATATGCGCCAAACAAATCATTCTATTTGTGTGAGGGCTGAAATACTGCTCGGATTTCCAAATTGGAACAGGTGGTTTTTCGGATGCATCACACCCCAAGCCTCTGACATAGAGGTCTAATCTGCAAGGCAGTGGAGCAGCGTTAGATGTAGTACCACGGCAGCCGGCGACTAACAATGAGTTCATACGCCATTTGTTTCCTCAGGATCCTGGAGCCCATGTGCACCATTGGTTTGGAACCAGGGTTTCCCAACTCCCCTAGGTAGATCCTCCGTATTCACCAAGCCGGTTAAAGCGCCGAACATTCGCTTTTCGTTCTCTCAACTTCCTAAACAACGCCCCCGCCACGAGAAGGCAGTGAGTAGGAATTTCCTGGCATTTGTTGTATGTACGTGGCCATGTGAAAGCATTTAGAGAAAGAGAGCTGACTCTCTACACCCTCGGCCATATATGGGCATTTGGGCGCGCTAACTGAACTGCTGCCCCCATTATTATCATCATTAACATTATTCACCTCTCACACTTATTTCTGTTTATTGTTCTTCTTTTGTATTATACGCACTTTATATTCCCTATCTCTGCATAACCTGATTGTTATTTTGTGGCACATATTTATTTGGTGCCCTCTTATTCCAATGTTTATGTGTTCAAACAAATAATAGGACTCTTAGATACCTGGCATACATTATATACCCAGATTTCTTCTTTGGATAAAAAGTGACCAACGTAGTTTGTAAACCCAATCAAGAATTTTAGGCATGCATTATTTATTTGCATATGGTTTATGATTGGTAATCTGATCACGTCATTTGTTAAGTGCTTACATTGAGTCAAAAACCATCAGAAGTGGGACAGTTACCTATTGATAATGCGCTAAAACGAGAACTACCAACTGAAATTGGTAATGTGAACCATCAAAAACTAGCTCATTAATCCAAAAGAAACACACACCACTTGAGGCTAACAGAACTTGAGTCTGATCCTTGAAAAGTTTGTAGGTGTTTACTGTTGAGTTATAAACTCAGTCAGCCATAAACAACATAGAACCTTGTACATTTATGTGTTGGTTCAAAAACGAACTGATGCGTCGTATACTCGTCTTCTGGTTGATGAATGGACATCTTGCCTATATCGTATGCGTTGCAAGTAGGCGAAAATCAACCGAGCTTTCTGAGATCGAGTCCCAAAGTTATAACGTAGGACAAGATGGATGTTTTCAGTTCTTTCTGTTTCGTATTGGTTACTTAACAACTAAGGTTAGCTCGTGACGTAAACTATTACAAAATGTAACGCATCTCTACAACCATTCAGTTAAACAAAAATGATAAGCTTTAGAAGACAATCTTATTTCACTGTTTCTATTCCAGGTACATAGGAAACACTGTAACCAATTTTTTGAAAGACAAATTGTTGACATACTTAGAAATAAGAACCATTTGATAAAATGTCAGGAGGTCTATAATCACCATGAAAACTTCAGAAGGTTTCGAAATAATTGGTCAAATAGTTTAACATTAATTGCTATGTGATCTGTATTTACCAAATACATAGAAGTATTAATATGTAGTAGGCTCCAGATGAAATCTACCACACAGAATAATATAATCATTGTAAAGAAATGAATAATAGACAGAATAACTGGGAGAGTAGCAGTTACACAAAGTACTCCTCAAGAAGTCATCATTACCGTTTGTTATATATTAACTGACTTCAAATCTGTGAAGTGAGCATACCAAGCTTAGTCACTATAATGGAAAATATATAATACACATAATATACTCAGTTACTAATTTATCAAATATAAATTTGTGTACTCTTCCTTAATTTCAAGTGTTAAGGTTGGCGATGGAGTCAAATTCCTTCATCTTCTAATGTGTACAAAAGACTAACGAATCAATGGTAGAAAAAAATAAACTTCAATTTGATAAGAACAGAAATTAATTTCAACTGACCCGCAATGTTTATACCGTAACGACGTGCTTCACTAGCGAATGGAGAAACGAAATCAGGAGCGAACGCCGCACTCCGAGCTTGCTCTACAAGACGTGTAGCACATTGTTTTAAACTATCAATTGTACAGTTTGCAAGTAACTGGAAAGTAGTAATGGAGAGAAAATACAGTTGGGAAACCTGTTTATTATGTATCTTTTTAAACTCTTACTTTCTATCCGACAAATAATCACAAAATAAATTTCCGAATTTTACATTGACTTCGACATAAAAGATAAATTTAAACATTATTCACATTCAAAGCTACTTAAGATATATATTAACAGTCTAGGGAAGAAGTTTCACTGATATCATAGCAACAACTGATGGAGAAAAACCGTTATTGTAAGTCAAGTGAAAAATTTCAATGAAAATCAGGTTCAAAATCTAAACTTAAACAAAATTCTAAAACCAGTTTATGTTATGTAAACTGAATTTTTATGTTGTTGATGAGTATATATGATCCTGGTCTATCGCCACAACAATGTGAAATAAATACCATACAATGGTGGTAATTGTTCAAGAAAAGCTGAAATAATGGTGGGTCAACTAAAGTAACTCCCTTACGATTAATTTTGTCAACAGTTAATTTTGTCAAGCCCCTCAATTAACTCATTTAACACACAGTACTCCAAGAACACTGTACGGTTTGGATTTGAGATAATACCTTAGATTTTGTTTATCAATCGCCATGATAACCGTTATTAAATAAATCCCAACGGTGTAAGAATTCAGGAGGAAACAAGAAGTGACGACTACAATTTATTATTGGACAACACAGATAACCAAGTTACAAGTACATCGAGCGAATTGGAGCAGAGAGGCGAGTACGCGCGAGCAAGCGGATACGGAGGTAGATTCGGAGTCAAATCGAACCAAGGCGAAGCGAAGCACGGCAAGGCAGCCAGTCAGTCAGTAACAACGTAGAACTTCGTACGTACGTACATCAGTCCGAGTTGCCACACCACGTTAGCACAGAGATGCAGTGGTCGATTCAAATCCCGTAGTGGTAGAGGTAATAAGAGTATAAGCAGTAATAGGGAAAATCAGTGTTTGGATATGTTATTTAAAGAGTATAATCCAGTGAAATAAATTTGGGGAGAGAAAAAAAAGAGACAACGAGGAATAAGGAGATCAAAATTTGGGAGAACACAAAGAGTGTATGCACCTGCGCCATTGCAAACGATTTTGAAGCATGTCATTCAGGGTCTTTAAACATCGGTTGCTATCATCTCGCATTCCCCAACCAGGTAGTCTAGACCTACTAACATAACTCAGTCTACTTGCCTATCGTAATGACCCAACCAAGCTATATTGGCTGGAACATATGTTCCTGTAGATTCTACCATGCCAGGCAGGTCGATTGGTGAACGGTAAGACTAAAAGCAGCAACTCAAGGTCTGAGGGCGAAGTCGTACTGCTGACTGTAGAGGGGTGTGACAGCAGTAAGGTGTTTCCCTCGGACAACCGGCATGACAGCGATGCTGCCTTCCCACAAGGAGGGGTGGGGTTAGAAAAGGTCGACCCTAAAAATGTCACACCTCACCTTACCTCACGGATTTCCGTCTCCGGCGGTAAGGCCCTTTGAAGAACGGAGCTAACACGTTAAAAACCTTCCACGAAAAGGCCATGCGCGCCTACGCCATAAATGACGCAAGTTGGTAAAAGCTAGTCGAGCCTTCTGTATCTGTGCTGAGATTTCGTCACACACCAGACCACAAGGGCTGATGAGACTTCCAAAATAAGTGAAGCGGTCGACAAGATCGACTACTTCACTCTCTATCATTAGTTCAGGCTTCAATGCAACCCAATCCTGAAGCAACATTTTGCATTTCGAGGGGGAGAATAGCATCCCGAACATGCTACACGGCAAGGCAATTAATAAGATTCTAGCACATATATATGGGAAGTAAAATGGTTCATCGAGAGATATTTAAGTGATTAACACTTAAGGTAGAGTGAAGAATAGGTGTGTAGGCTGTCACATGTGACCAAGTATACACGTTTATACAGACATGATCGTGATCATAATAATATAATGAAATATACGAACTGTTACTGTTCGAATAACACTGTCTGTTAAATAAGTCAATTAAGCGTAATCAAAATTAATTGTAACGGAGTTGCTATAACAATATCAATTTCTGTCAATTTCCAGTGGCTACAACCACAATTTTATATGCATCGATAAATTCACGCGATGGCCTGTAGCGGTACCGATAAAGAGTGCCTTAGCCGAGTTTGTTACCAAAGCCTCAATCGAGAATTGGACTTCTTGTTATGGAGTGCCAGAGATTATCACAACTGATGAAGGAGCTCGACTCGAAAGTCGCCTTTTCCAGCAGTTTACAGAACTCGGAATTAAACGTATTCGCACGATATTCTAACATCCGATGGCAAACGGTATGCTTGAACGCCAGCACAGACAGTTAAAAGCGTCTCTTATAACTGTCATTGTCAATAACGATTGGGCTAATAAGCTTACTCTAATCATGTTGGGTTTAAGAACAACAATTAAACAGGATATTGGATGTTGTTAAGCAAAGTTGGTGTATGGAGCTACGCTACGTTTACTGCATAATAACACTCATTTGTTCATTAGAAGAGATAACGTACAACCACCTTGGCAGCCGAACTATGATGGTCCATTTAAAGTGATTACGAGGACAGATAAAACAGCTACCATAGAAAAAGCTGGAAAGGTAGATGAAATCAGCATAGACCGACAATGAGAACGATAGGGATATATACTTTGGGAACGATTTGGAGTTTCAAATGTACGGCATAGTAACTACCAGGTGAAGTACGTATACATATAAAAAGACCAAAACTACCCAAAATTCCAAATTACAATTTAATATAATAGTCGATAACTACGCACTAATGTAATGTTTTATACTAACTGTTTACTTGTTTCTACAGAATGAAGTTAGCACATGTGAAAATTTAAGAGGACCTATGATAAGATAATCACGTGTGTATATAAAGTGTGAACACAATCAAAGTAGGTTTTGTAAGAAAACAGACCTCATAGTAAGAATCAAGCATTTTATGACCCATAAACGATGGAGAATATAAGTTTAAACACTATTTAGGAACACTCTAGACCATTCTGAAGATATTAGAAACAATATCATCAGAAATCAGCATATATATAGAAAAAAAAATTCGTGAGTGAATAACATTGAGTTATCGATAACTATTCATAAAGTTAACACTGAATTTCAAAGCCCCAAGCATTAGTTTACTGGTTTACACCTCAACCCTGTTCGATTTATGTAGCCAACAAAATGTTAGATACAAGTACATGTAATTATTTTGTTATTTAAAAAGATAACTCATACTGTCCCCATAATGAAATTCCGATAACATGCGGCTTCTTTTAATGGTTAGATGGGTGGAAAAACCTAACAAGTTGAAGGAAATACTTCAATGAGATAATTTTGAACCTTTTCTAAAGTTCTTATTCTATTCACAACCACTGTTATTCAATATAGAGTGTGATCAACTATACAATTATACGACGAGCCCTTTTGTCGGAGATTGAATAATTACCTAGTGATTGTGTCACAACGGTTATAGCCAAGCATTAGAAACAATATATGGTAGTGTTCACATCAATAAAAAATTGACTAATATCCTAACATTCCCTAAAAATTGTTCACAGTTTTTTATATTAAAAATATTCGATTTCCTTCCAATCAACAATATGGGTCTGGAAACTTCTGACGGTTTTCAAACACTTATGTGAAGGCCAAATTTCTCATTTATCTTCAAATGAAGTTGATAAATTTTTCCAAACAAATACACACAGCTTACCTCAATGGTTTTTACCTCTTGTAATATCATTGATTCTGTCAAATTATCAAACAAGCCATCTGTGCCTACGATAATTACGTCACCCGGTTTGACTTCTACAGATGTTTGAGCAGCTTGATTAGGTCTATAAAATATTTTAATACATATAATTTACTATAGAAGTACTTAAATTATCAAAAGCATTGACAAATCGGTAATGACGACATAGTAACTAAAAAACAAGACAAGAAACAAATTTTGGGTAGGAAACATCACCATGATATTTAGGAATGATAATATCAATCATAATTAAGCACTGAATAGCTTTTTTACATGATTAAAACGATTTTCAGATCAAGCAAATACCGGATATTATTTCTGACCCCGTTAGGAGTTTTGCACTCACAAAGAAATAAGTTCACTTAGTAAAGGATCCCATTTTATTTGCAATCACCGGTCTATATTAGTCAATTTGTTCACTATATATTTTTCTCGATAGTCATTTCCGTTTCGATATTATTCTAGCAGTTGGAAATACTTAACATCCAAAGGAACCAAATTTATGGTTTAAAAAAGTTGCACAAGACCAAATTATTCTTGAACAATGTAGTACAATTCAGATTAGACTAGACAAATTTATTTCGAAAGGCTCGGTATACTAGCAATGTAACTAAACCAAACTTAAATTGTTTCTTTTTATTTACTATGATTGAAGAGCAAAGCACAACTGTTACACAGATGGAGAAGTTCGATATATAATCGCCATGTAGACATTGGAATCTAACTCAATAACCGGATAAAAAATTATCGATTGCCCACGTAGACTTATGTATTTAATAATCAACGACGACTTTGAACTATACTGGTTTTTTGGAGGCTGGTGTACTGCCTAGTTATCTAAAATGAGTACAATAACCAGTAATCCAATATTCCACATGAACAATGAACAATTAACTGACATTCCTTCATTATTATCAATAACTGATATACCAAGAGATTGTCTGAAAAAAACTCATTTCAGCTGATAACGTTAATCAAAATGTGGAACTGTTATAATCTCTTTTTTACGGTTATGACCCAGCTATTCCTATTGCTTAGTATTCTCGGATACCGATTCACTCGACAAGTCCCCAAATCAGAACACGGTTGAACAGGAAAAAGATTATATTCCAAATAACAAGGTTAGATGGAAGCAAGAAGCAAGTCAGAAGCACAATAGGGAAAACGTCAGTGTATTTATAGTCTTTACATGAGAAGATTCTAGAGCGTCCACCAAAGCAATCGTCCATTGAGCTTGTTTTAATCTAGTCTATGTCCCACTAATAGGAACTATACCTGTCTACCAATCTTTTAAATATAAAACTATGGTATCTTGGTCTGAGTATTTACTCTGAACTATTCCTTCAGTCTTGAACCTACACAGCACATCGACTACGTCACTCTAGATTACTAGGTATTATCGTCAGTTTAGTTTATGAATTTCTACCCCAAAACTACATTATTTCTTGATTTTAATTACATTGAAAATTATGCAGTACATATTATGTGCTAATTATTTGAATCAGAACTCAAATATTTAAAAATTAAAACAATGTTATTTTAAACCTACAAATCACAATGAAAACGTCTTGAGCGAAGCGTAGGTGGACAAGACAATTGGAATGGTGTATTGAATGAATGCTTTTGGTGGACTGAACGTTGAATCACATGTCCTTCACGTATAACTAAATAGCCGCTGTCACCTAGACTGGCACCATAAACTCTGTGTTCATTACGTTGCAATGAAACTATGCATAGGGTTGCGCTACCTATAATAATAATAATAATAATAATAATAATAATAATAATAATAATAATAATAATAATAATAATAATAATAGTATATGCACTCACTAAACTTAGATGTACACGGACATATGATAAACCAATGGTTCACGGGCGTTGATGTATCTTCAATAAACAACTTTTATTAAACTCCATAACGTTTTGAACAAAAGAGCTACATATATGGTGTTTATGATATCAATACCATATATTGTTCATTTCATAGTCCAATGGTTGAGAGTCGAATGTCAGTCTTACTGACTCAGCTCCAAATGTACCTTGGGCCATTAAGAACAGTGATTTTTCGCATGCACCTAGTTCATTGAACTTCACTGAGGAGGAATCGTATTACATTTTATGTGAAAACTGTCATTGATTATTATGCTTTTTAAAATAAATTACACCCTAGTTTTGTTTCAAATAAACCTCTTCAGTTTAACTATAGAATAAAACGTAGAGACAAAATAAGCTTTCGCAAATATGTCCCGAAACAAAAATAAAAATCATTAGCTGACGCTTTGATATCTGTGTTTATAACATTGTCAAAACTGAGTTTTTTGGAAGTACTCCAAATAGCGAGCATTTAAACAATACATATCGTACCTTGTCACAAGCGTACTCTAAGTTTGTATATGAACACAACTGCTTTAATTGATACCTACTTGCCCCTTTATGGGTGTTGCTCAGTATACAATTAATGATTAGACCAATCGTAGATAACAGAGGATCTGATGGGACTTTTCCGGTTCAAGCTATCGTACAATATGTCGCAATAATCAGGTCAGTTTACATGATGAAAAGTAAAGATGAGTAGGAGTAACAACACCAAATAAAATAGAAACTACACACAAGAAATATAATCTAGCAAGAAAAAGCTAAGCAGTAGGATGAAAAGCATAGAATTAGACTGAAAATTTAGGGGAAGATAATGAATGAATGTATCTACGCTAGAGCAATTGATTTTGAGTCATGTCATCACAGTAACATACAAAAATCACCATAGACACAGTGAATGTGACAGAAATAGCAGAACAAGAATCCTTTGACGTTAATAAGTACGTTCAGAGCTGCAAAATCGTTTATGTATTTAAAACAAATTCCTTCATTATAAAGGACTAAGCTTATAATCAAACAAACTAAAAATACACTGGATTTATGGTTATACTGCCTGAAAACTGATTTAGACTTTTCAGTTACAGGTTGAAATTTTTCCTAACTACTTTATATTGGGCACTTGCAATTTACTAATAACCACTGAATAATGTAGCATGACTGTCCACATACTGGGTGGATTAAAATAGTTGTCATAAACTCACACTAAACAATCAGCCTACTAACATTCTGATTTGTTTAGGTAGGTCGCTTTTGGTTGGTTGTTGATCCAAAGCGACCTAAAGATACAAATAAAGAAAGCTCGTAGTTAACAACAAAACAGTTCTACTCAATGTCCACTGCGGAAATGGTTTTTTTAATTTTTTTTTGGTTACAACAAAAACTTGAAACTACAGCAAACTGTTTTTACTGATGAAAAATATCAGACCATACAGGAGAAGATAAGTGGCTTACGGTTAGGATAAAACCTTATCTTAAACTTAAGTCTACGAAATTGAGTTAACCAAGAGCCAATCGTTCACTTTTTTCAAAATTATTTGTACTTCCCATAGTAACACAACGATAAGAGATAGCTAAGTGACTTTCTAATTCTGCTAGGTTCTTAGAAAGAGACTGAACCTGCTGTCAAATAACAATGAAACATGAGGAACAGACAATTATAAACGACTTATCATACCCAAAATAAGTTCTTTGGAATTCAGTACATCTTCATAGCATTGGGCAATTAAAACCTCTAGCTTGTCGGGAATAAAACGACCGGAATTTACAACACGCTCACAATTCTTCATAACTGCTCTAGAGAAACGACCAGGATCGACTCCGTACGACCGCCAACCACCAACACCATCAGCGACACCTAGTAAACATAAAACATAACATTTCGTATGAAATAAAAATGATAGAGTAGACTGGTAGAACAGTTTTATGGTTAATATCCGAAATATACTATAAAACTTGCTCTACGAAAAATCTACGCCAAATATAATAGATGCACTCAAAAACTAGGCTTGTAATTTAATTCACTGCTAACAAGCTATAATCCGATACATTTTGATGCTTATTTTACTAAGGGTTAAAATAAAAGGTGAGGGATCAATGGAATTAAAAGTACGGGGAAAACTAAGACTTCAGACCAATCAAAGAAATGCAGGAGCATTAATTATCTAAACATCCTCACACAGTATCAGCTATGAATTGGCAGGGGCCAAAGCTAAAAGTAGTGATGGGGTACAACGAACGGAGACCCAGAATCTGTAAAAGTGAACAATACACATCCCCGTTTCACCTACAAACAACGAAGCCTAGGTAACTTGAGCTGCATCAATTCTTACATTTGTTTATTTGAATACCAAGTAGTTACAATTTAAAAATATAATTATACACGAGTATTAAATGACCTTTAATAAAGCATCATAATACAGTCCAGACGTGACACGACATACTACTCAGTCTCTCTTCAGCATGAAACATTCGGAAACCCCAAATATCTACTGAATGTCTATTAAACACTTTACATGTTTACAAAACATGTTACAATATTTAAAATAACTTTTGGTTACATTTTACGTTTACCTCAGGTAGCGGTACGTCTTACGATGAAAATCTAGCAACCTAAACTAACGCGAGTAAACTTTTCAACTTTAATCAGAGCTTTGAAGGAGTTTTATGATCGGAACATATGTGGAATGATTATGTAGAAAGCGAAGCGATACCTAGCTATTAAGGAGACCTGTCAATCATTTACGTATACTTTTCGAATTAATTAAGATACATTAGGGTTTATAAATGGTTGATTAAAGAACTCTGAGACACGGAAAACTCTGTGCAAACGCCACAATATCCGGTTAATTTGTTTGTTTGAATGACATGACTTACCTAAGACGTACGAAGAATCTGTTACTGATAAGAAGCAAGCATCATCCCCGTAAACCCATTTCGGCGAAATCCTCGTTGAATATTTAGTGTGCTTATTGTCATAACCAGCAACTGCAGTAAGAAGACACAACCTTACTCTCCTTAAAAATACCTCGGAGTTATTATTACTTCCCCGAACTTTTGACACAGGACGAAATAGGGAACGAATTTGAGACATTAAACTGCTCATGACTGTGTATCCATAAAATTGACTAGATTGTATCATAAGTCGTTTTTTTGCTTAGATAAAAACAAGACTAAACAGACAATAGTGATGAGTCTTTGCAACAAGTTATTCATTTGCAGTGTGAAGGTCGATCCCAAACCATAATTAACAACTAGTGAGCTTAAACGTAGCTTAAGGCCAAGTACTCTTCATCAAAAATGATTATGTGTGGAATGTCTGAACCCCTTTTCAGTTGCCAAAACTCAAGTTTCAGGAGCAATTTATCGATGACATTTTCAGGTGGAGGCCCAATAAATACTGAAGTGAAGTTTGGATGTCAGTTAAAAACAAAGTTTAGAATACTTGTTGATAAAAGTAAAACGCATCAGTTGCTATCAGAACACAAGGGATAATTGTAGGCATCGTTAATCAAAAGATGAATCAGACTACCTGTTAATCCATTAAGGATATCTCGAAAGTCCATATGAAAACCCCATAAATTGTTTTAAAAATAAAACTTATTGGAGTAAACAATCGCTTTCAATGTTCTTTACTCCTGGCATTGAGTTTATAAATCGAAAATTAATGTCTATGAACTTAGCTTAGGCTTTGTGAGGCATAATTAGAGTTCTATGTATTTCTTAGGACTTTGTAGCGGTAAATAAATCCCCAAAATAAATAGCTCTAAGTTTTCGACATTGGATGCTGACCATATGTTTTAGTGGACTCATCTAGCTGAAGGCGCTCGGTCAGGCATCCGCACCAGACCACGTGTGGTAACGCCGCAATCGTTAACCAGATTAGATCAGAGAATTCCGATATATTGGTCATCGCCAAATATACTCTTCCGATCTCCTAGACTCTGTCTTTTGATTTATCTGGGTTGGAACCAAATATATTAAAAGGTGTTACTGGTAGAAGCGTTGACAAACACTGAATACCTGTGACATCATCAACTTCTTTGTGTATTCTTGGTTCAGATTCACATTCTGACTCATGCAGTGAGGACAGAAAGCTGATATATTACGTAGTTTCTAGTCCAGTAGGTTTCTGTTGGTTTCCAGTTCTCTCCTGAACGGTTTAGTTGAGGGTGTGTGCATTACTCTTTTGTGCAATGGGTTTTAAGTGTCAATGACTATGTGTCAAACCTGCCTGCCACGGATATCTTGTTCGTTCTTGGCCCGTATACACACTTGGCCACCCCGACAGTTATCAACTAGGCTTGATACTAGCTACCTTAAAGGTCTAAGTCGCCCTGGAGTGCACATACCTCCGCATCCTCTATTAACTCTCCTTGAGTAATGACATGATCAGCATAAATTATCAGCGGAGACTGTAGTAGCTTTGCTTCGTTAATCAACCACGATAACCGCTGTTATATACATTCAAACGATATTTTAAATCAAAAGTGGCAACTACAAGTAATTTACCTAAAGCACAGACTACAAAGTTATAAACACAACGAGCGGATTTGAAGCAGAGCGGAGAATATGTGTATACGAGCAAATACAGAGGCAAATTTATAGCCAAATCACGTACACATATACATGGGGAAGAGAATGATTCACAGAGCGATATTTAAACTACCAGCATTTTTGCTAGAGTCTGTTATGTGATCAAGCGTACACGTTTATGGTAGTTATCATAATAGTACAAAAAATATTCGAACTGTTACTGTTCAAATGACACAGTCTGTTAAGTAACTTGATAAAAAGTCTTAACTAAAATTTAACCATAATCAACATTGATTGTAGGAGAGTCGCTATAAGGCTGAACAACTCGGGAGCTTCTGACATGTAGGATGAAATGTAAGGGACAAAGTACAGAGCCTTCCGTGGAAGAAAAAATTTCTAACTGACGGATCAATATCCGCGAAATCGAACTCACCCAGCGCGAACGTTATCTTATACTGGTCTGATTACATTAGTGTACTGTACCTGTAAACAGTGGAGTTCCCCAAGGTACAATCCTCGGTCCTCTTCTCTTATTACTTTATGTAAATGAATTGCCAACTATAGCGAAATCATCCGTTCTACTCTTCGCCCATGACATAAAGATTCGGGGACCCATACACAGTATGTCAAATAGAATAGTATTACAGGATGATCTTAGCTCATTGGTGGCATGGATGGACAGGTGGTCACCAGAAGTAGAATCCAACAAGAGTGTGGTGATGCAATTAAATAACTATGATGAATCGTATCACTATACAATATGTGGACACGTGCTACTCAAACAGAATATAAAGATTCAGGAGTCATATTAAGCAGTGATTTCAAAACCACTAGTCACTGTAAGGTTGCTGCTGAGAAAATCTACAAGGTATTATGGTCTATTCGTTGGTCTTTCCAGTATTTAGATGACGACATTTTTAAATTATTATACCCGACTTTCATGCAACCACATTTAGAATACGGGATGCAAGCAGCGAGTCCCTGTTTCAAGTATGGAGCAGGTATGCTGGAAAGAGTCCAACGACGAGGGACTAAGATGGTTAAAGGTCTATCTGGCCTATCCTATGAAGACAGACTGAAACACTTTAACTTATTCCCGCTATCTTACCGTAGAATATGGGGTGATCTAATATTGGCTTATCATATACTAAACGATGACCTTGGTATTAACATGTCTTTTACTTTCGTCTAGGACTGATAATTTGAGAGGACATTTGAAGAAAGTTCAAAAGCCGAGATCAAGTCGTTTAAGTCTGGAGTTTCGTTTCTCGCACCGAGTAATGAATTACTGAAATGCCCTACCGGAACACGTAATATCAGCACCTTCTGTTGATATATTCAAAACGAGATTAGACCTCCACATTATTACAAACTGCAAGTATTAATATAGGTTGATAGACTTCCTAGCCTTATTACTGATGAGTGAAGTCTGACATTCCTCGCTATACACAATCGTCGCGTAATGTCGCGTCATTATTTCTGGTAACGTGCCCCATCGTGGCAGTCAGAGGTAGTTGCAACAACACTTTAAAAATAGATTAAAGCCTATTGATCGAGTAGTATATTTAGTACAAAGATGAAGGCTGCAGTAACCATGCCTACTTGGCTGAGGCATGTATTTTCAACAATGTACCTGCATCAGCACTTTAGCCTTCACTATTTTACATGGATCTCTCGATGCTCACTGCTCTGTTGTTTAACGCAGAAACAGTTCAGCTCGATGGTTGGTTGGTGTTGAGGATTAAGTATTACTCTAGAATCACGACAATGCCACATGAGATATTAATTTTTTGTCTCATCTCTTGAGACAACTTGTAGGCAAGACAAGGTTTTCCATAAAAATGAATGTGTTGGCACACACATCGACCCAAAAAAATGAAGAATTATAAATGAATACGCCAATTTATCTATTTGTGCCACGACGATTTCAGATTGTTATGTAATGATTATGCCAAGATATGGATAGCGATAAAATGTAGGGGTGATAGCGTAGAGCTTCAAAATGACTTGGAGAAATTATCTGAATGGACTTAAACTTGACAGTTGCCGATAAATACCTCCAAGTGCATTGTGATGCATATTGGTAACTAAGGTGCGGGTACATACATGATGAATAACATTGAGCTACCTGTTGTCCACACACACAATCACTTAGGATTCATCGTTAGCCAAGCATTAAAACTACTGCATACTTCCATGCAATAGCCGCCAAAGGTTTTAGAACCCTATGTTATTCCTTTTCTAGTATGCTTCTGTGAGTCTCTAGTCTTCTCTTGAAAGAGTCAATTGAAGATGCGGACACCACTGCTTTAGGCAGTAGGCTCCAAGTATTAATGACTCGGTGTGAAAACCTGTATTTTGTTCATTCTTGGATTTTCTACTCGCCTGCTATGTCCTCTGAGGTGTCCCGATCTAGTGCGAAAAAAGAGAGAGAATAAGTTAGGTCCGAAATCATTTCCCAGTATTCTGTACATCAGAATTACATCTCACTTAGTCTGCGATAGGAAAGAGTAAAGAGGTCCAGTTTTTCAAGCCGCTCTTTGTATGATAAACCCCGGAGTTCTGGAATTGCACGGGTAGCTGCCCTCTGTACTTTTTCTAGTATGTCCGAGTCACCTTTTAAACAGGGGCTTGCAGCCTGAACGCAGTTCTCTAGCTTAGTTCTCACTAAGGATGTGTGTACTGTGGTGAACGTGGTGGTATATGCACTCACTGTTTTTGTCTTTCAAATCAGAGAATTTACTAGGACAAATTACTTGTCGGTTGACTATGTACTTTCAATCAACTTATCAACGAGTGAAATTCATTACCTCAACACTAGTTTGAAGATCAATCTGTTCACACTTTCAAAAGAAATTTAGATCAAATTAGAGCTCTCAAATAATGATCTAGACCACCATGACCAACAGAGACCGCTCAACTTCCTGTTTCTTCCGAACTGAATCTGAAACTGAAACCAATATCTGCAGTGTTTTTCAACTAATGGAAATCAGTTTGCTCTTCATAATTGCCAGTGGAGACTTCAGATTTGCGTAGAACCTAAGCGATGCGTTGTGACAGGATGGCATAAAAATGACGAATCGTTTTCTCAGACAGTACCTTGTTCTCTTGTTGACAAAATGAAATACCTCAACCCATTTCAAGTTAAGCGTATCAACAGTAATGATTTCACTTATGTCTTTCTTCATGTAACGGCCTCCAAAAAGACCAACATTTTGTCTGAAGGTCAAAGGTACCGAGCGTGTAGTGAGTTGTGAAGTTGTAGTGATCGTAATTTGGTTTTAATTTTTTTTGCAGTGGGTTGACAATTATATTGTCAATAAAAAGCATCATAGACTGTTCTTCTGTTCAAATATTGGTTGATCTTAGATTTTGCCAGAAACGTTTCTTATGGGACTAAATTTAATTATGTATCCGGATACAAACTAATAATTTCACGGAGCTGCAGTAAAGCAGTCTTGAAAAAAATTTTCACGGCACCATACTGCGTATTTTCCTCCACAGTGTTGTCACAAATGGGACGAATTACAACTTAGGCATAAGTACATACTCAGGTAGTCCTGAAAAAAATGTTGACAAGCATAACAGCCTCCAGTCACTCATATAGAACACTAAATATGTCATATATCAGTTCAGGTCGCAACACCACTTTACCACTTAATTTTTTAAAGACAAATCCCATAGTAATAGTAACTATCGGTAGTAGTAGAGGTTAGGTATAAGTATTATTACATGACAATCCTGAAAATCATGTACGCCTATGCAAAAACTCAATATCATGCTGTCACTAAGGTCTGTATTATTAATTATAGTTAGATTTTAAGTGGGAGCAAGCTATTCAGATTTTATGGAAGTTAAGAACCAAATTGCAGGTCAGATTGTGCATTCGTAACTTACTCTTATTTTTGAAAGTGGATATATACTTTTATCTGTTATCCTATGGGATTACAAGAAGTGTCCTCACATGTGTATGGAGCTAGTGACATATTTGTAGATTAATGTGGCTTCTGTGTACCGGTAACTGTAGAGCTCTTCTAATTTTTGTGAAAATCGTGAACATTTGAACTTTTAAAAGTGTTGGGAATTATCTCGCGCGTATTGATTTGACATCTTACTCTGTAAGTCAATTACAAATTAACGACTGTAAATTGCCGACTTCCTCATAGCGAATTGTTTCTTTCGTGTTTGGATACTATGATTTTAAGACCTTAAGATTTAGGACCTATTATTATTTTAGTGCATTGTACATATAGGTAGGGAAAATTTAATATGTAATTAAATTTCCAGTGTTTCCATTTCTTTAAATTCCATCCGATCTGTACATTTCTCATAAGTGAGAGTACAACATTTCCATTTAAATTGTAATGTTGTTCACACGCTTTGTTTCTCGACTATGATTCACAATGCACTACCTCTCACTTCACTCTGTTCTCAACCACATCTACTACTTGACCAGCCATAACTAATCCCGTTGCCACGCTTTTGCAGTTTGGCGTCTCGATTTTCTCTCTCTCTCTCTCTCTCTCTCTCTCTCTCTCTATATATATATATATATATATATATATATATATATATATATATATGGTGTTTTATTTGAAAATGACACTTTGTGATCATAAATTTGTGTATTTTTGAGCTTTTTCAACACATTTTTTGAACATGCAAGTAACTCCTAGTCATAACTATTCATAATTCGTTTATATATTGACTGTTGGTGTATTTATGTTTTTATCACTTTTTAACGAGGGTCTGCCGCCGGATAGACTCGCTGATGCCGAAAGAGAATTCGGGCATAGTTATCCGACTAGGCGCCAACTTAGCATACCAGAGGCCTCTCCGTTACATATGGTGGTTAAGGAAGATCGTCACTGGGGTATATGCATTGATTAAAAACCCAAATATACCGGGTCAGTGATCGGTGTCCCATGTAGGTGGTTTCATTCAACTGTATTAGAAATATACAATTTTCGTCTGGGCTACGAGAGAGATTTTCAGTTGGTAGCAGAGTCTCATTACTAAACAACTTGCTTTTGGGTGGTCACCGTCCAGCTGATATAATAAATTGCAAAAAGGCAGGTAAACTTGCCAAATAATACTCATTGAAACTTAGTTCCGGAATCAATAGTCAGTGTAAAAGGGACGTCGAGAATAAAAATCAAGCAGTCTGAAAAATGAAGAAAACAGTTTATACATAGGCGTTGATAATAGAACACACAGTAGCACATTTAATGGGATGATCAATGGTTGTAAATGTGTGTATAGAGGTTTTAATGTTGGTGGCGGTCATACGATGTTAATGTACACAAGCTGAAGCAGTCTGTCAGACTCTGAGGAATCATTTAACGAGGTTACCACATACAAACAAATCTTTTCTCCCAAAAATATATAAATCAATCACAATACACTTTTGTTTTCTTAATAGTTTAGTGTTCTTTGGTTAGCATTTTGCTTGTGAATTTCCAATTATTTTAAGTTTGTTTTAAACTACCTAGCTAGTTAAATTGGACGCTGCTAAATATGAGACAACGAAATATAGTCGATTTGCCATACTCTGCAAACATTTATTTATGGTCAACAATAATACATTTGTAGTGTCGTAATGAGTAGAAAATTGAGTTTCTGACTTTCTGCGGCTTAACAATCTGCGTCTTCAGAGAATAAATAAATGACCGAAATTAATTGACGTGATTGCAAAGAAAAAACGTAAAACACTTGGTGTAATTAAAAAGCAATCCATCCGGTGTTCAGTTTATTTGAAATTATCGAGTTACATTTCGCTAGTGACAGTTAAGAAGTAATAATATGTTATAAAAGTATCACTAAACACTAAATGATAGCCAGTAGAAGTGTATTTGTTGGTATCTACTGGTGAAGCCTACATTTATCTAAAAAATATTTTCCAAGAGCGAATCTCGCACTTATGTGTTACACTTTACTGTATACTCTTATGGTGTTAATGAGTTGCAGTTTTACTTGTGTAACAATTGATAATGCATTTTTTAGTTTCCATTTTTCAGAGGCGTATATTTACAACTTTTATCAGATGAATTATGACTATCTCAACTCACCACAAAAGAAAGGAAGATTCAACATCGCGTAAGTTCCTTTTTTGTCAATTCGCTCTTCACGTTACTACTTATTACGTTGGAAGTCATTGTTGGCTTAGCATTTTATAATCGAGATATTTCTTGATAGTCTTTTTTTTAATTGAGAAAAAATAGGTGAACATCGTTCCTAACTGATATTAACTGCTTGTTTGGAACATATGCTGAGGAATTGTGACAAGGAAGGAAACAAAGATAACAGATGAATATTTATTATGCATCGAAAATAAGCTAAAATCCATGCCCGAATACATTTGGTTTTTTAAATATGTTTTACATGTACTGATCAATAATCGAATTTGAATTAATTAGACTGGGTGGTAATATACATTATTTGTCAATAAGTTAGTATTTTACAATTTCGTAAAACGAACTAATCAACAATTATAACTAATTTACCATATTAAATGGTTATTATTCCTTAAAACCTAATAATTTGTATATTTTTTACTGTCCTCGTGTTTTGATTTTCACTGCATTAACTAAAACATCAACCTTTAACCTGTCTTTTTCTGTAGTAATGATATGCGATTTTCAGAGTTCTAGTAAGAAACCGTGACCAGCGGAATTCAACCGTCTTGAGTGTGCGGCAGTCACCGAAAACAATTGAAGATGCTCGCGCAATATCGTAAATTTATTGAATTTAATTATCTAAACCAACAGTCAAAAGGTTAAGCTCCCGTCGCGAGACTCGAAGGTCCTGGGTTCGACCTCATATGGTGGGGTCGTGGATGCACACTATCGAGGGTTTCGACACTAAGGTGAGACAACTATCCAGTGTTTCCTGGTTTTCATTAGTTGTCTAACTTGATTTAGATCGTGATTTCAATAACATGACAATCTCCACGAACCCTCATACTGGTAATTTCTGAAGACGGACTACGATAAATGTGCAGGAATGAGCTATATGCGATCTATCGGGATCAGAAATGATCTAATTATTAAGTTAACTGTGTAGCTGCTGATGTTATTTTCTTCATACAAATACGTATAAGATTTATAAATTGATATGCAAAAGGATGATAGTCAACTACCAACATCCAATGAATTCAACCAATTGGAGCCAATATAAATTATTATGGGTCGAATAATCAAATCATCATAAAATTATTCAGGGATAGCTTTGATCACTATGTGATATCAACTAAAGAACTAATGAAAACCTGGAAGGAGGACTTAGGACTGTTGTTTCGTCCTGGTTCGTAACTCTTTAACAGTCAGCATCCACGGTTCCACTCTCAATCTAACCCAGACCTTTCGCATACCTTTTCAACACAGTTGAGACTTGATAAGCAGGATTTCAAAACAGGACGAAAAGGTTCATTCCACCATTTCTAATGTAACTGTAAATCGTATAAATTATTCGTGATTAACTGTTTTCACAAATTTGTACTTTGGTTGTGTAACCATTAAAAACTTCCTGCATTCATTTGAAGTGCGATCATGTGGAAATCCTTTGTAACACTGACGTTCGAAGTTCTGCGAACAATTTAACTTAGATAAGAATAAAGCTGTAATTCTTACGTCTATGTATTGAGAGTCATTTCACTGAGGAAAAAAGTGGTCTTAATGTCTCATAAATGTGTTAGGATTTACATTTCAAAATATGTCAGCTTGAATTTATCGTCATGATTATTTAGATATTCCTTTCAAGGCTGTTTTCTCATCTGATTTTACATCAAATGTCACTACGTTTTCATTCCCAATGTTAATATGATGCATATATCTTTTACAATGTTTTGCATCGGTTTATATCCTTCGTTTATAGTAGATTTTAATGGGATCACATTTTCGCGAAATTTATCATTAAAAAAGTGAAACAAGCAAGTTTTTTCATGCCTGACGGCTAATAACACTAATCAGCTTCTCAAAATTAAGTGGACTCGGGTTCGAACCTGCAAATCGACGGTTAACAGTTAAGTACGTTTTAGCCACTAAAACACCGCTCATTATTTTCAACAATAAAAATCATTTTGCTCATAGATCATGCTTAATTATTCATGATTATGTTAGAATTCGATTTTTTATTTTAGCATGGTATCAGATTTTTGTTACCCGAATGTTGGCGGTGTAGAAAGTCATATTTTTGCTTTATCTCAATGCCTTATTCGACGTGGTCATAGAGTTATTATAATCACTCACTCTTATGGTTCTGAAGGTGGTCAACGTCAAGGTGTAAGATATTTGCCACGTGGACTTAAAGTATGTGGTTGTAATTTGGTTTTGTTTAATTAAAAATTTTATTTTAGGTTTATTATATTCCAATTCAACCGTTTTATAAACAGTCAATTTTCATCACAGTTCTGGGCACATTACCAATAATTCGTGAAATAGTAATACGTGAACAGATTGATATTGTACATGGACATTCAGTATGTTTATAGTAAATTAAAAATATTTTGTTAAGTTTTATCATGTTAGCTAATCTTTTAAATAGGCTGACCTCTTGTTTTTAATATCTGTCGGGTGTTGGACAAACACGTTTATGGACAGCAACATATGAACTATATGTATTCTAGCCTTTTATAGATATATTCGTAGTTATAATATAAATATGAAGCAAAGATGGGTAGTAGCTAGCAGTGGGATCCAGGATGTGCGTATCGTTCTATTTGAGACAGGTCAGCTGGATGTATCTACATCTCTGAGACTCGAACCCATTACCGTTCGCTTCACACGCCATCGCGTTATCCACTTAGCTACTGAGTCCTGATAGCTAATTGCCTGTGCAATGGGGTGAAGTTTAACTTGTTATTGTTTACTTGAATCTTCCTATTGCTGTTTAGGACTGCAATCCAGGACACGCGTTTCGTTTTTGCTTATAATGCTTGTGAATTTGGCAATATGCACAGTATACACACATGCCAATAAGAGATTGATAAATTACAGTCCTAAACATCAATGAGAAGATTCATCTAAACAATGCCAAGTGAATTTAAATATCTAATAGTTAAAATCATTCTGTATTAAGGGATTAACTATGTAAATGTGTCACAGATGATAAGATGGTCATATTCTTTTATTACAGAATATTTACATTGCTTTATTCTATATTGAATAGTTGTCCGTAGTCGTCAGATAATCACAACAAAAGAGGCTTAGAGTTAAGGAATAGTTGTAAATGGGTGAGTGATTAAGGCATATCCATTGTGTTTTATTATACAAAGCTAATGCATTAGCAATGTCTTCCGTAATACCCACAGCGTTTGACCTCTTTTCTAGCTTATCACAAGATTGTTGTCTTATGTGTTGGTTCTCAAGGGTTAAACGACACGAGTAAAGGTAACATCGTGCAGATTCATGCGATTTGTTTTATCAATCTATGTAAATTATATACCCTCAGTACGATTGGTCGTTTTTTCAGCCTTGTTCATAATCTGGGTAGCCCACTTTGCGTACTTGTTGGACTGACCACATAGTCTGTTGGATGTCGAGATGCTCTATAGAAGCCTAGATGTTTGGAATTATCATATAAAATATAGTCTTACAACCTGTTTATCATTTAAAGTCACTGTCCCCTGAAGTAACAAAGACCTATTGATTATTTATTTAACACTCTTGATGTAATCATAATATCCAAGTCAGCGATACCAAGTCGCAACCTAATTATACTTTTTGATGTGTAACAACCCTAGCAAACTATAATCTAAAAGCTTTGACTTAAGGTGTAACAACGTCTTATGGGATTGTACGTCCCAATTACACAGTATATGCATCTTCTTCCATCGGTTGACGAAACATTTACAAAACACGAAGTTTGCAACTTCATCTTAGAATGCATATATGTGGTTAAAATGTGTAATACCTTTATTACTTTTCTTCCTCGTTATAGATATTTTCTCCTTTAGCCTGTGAAGCTGCAATTCACGCACAGAGCCTTGGCTGTCGAACTGTTCATACAGAGCACTCACTTTTCGGTTTTTCAGATTTGTCAGCAATAATTATGAATAAAGTAATGGAAGGTGTATTTACAGCTGTAGACCAAGTTATCTGTGTTTCACATACTACCAAAGAAAATGTAGTTCTTCGAGCTAAATATGATGCTGATCGAGTTTTTGTAATTCCTAATGCAGTGGATGCCTCTGCGTTTATTCCTGACCCGTCTTGTCGTGATCCTAATTACAGTTAGTAATTTGTTTAGATACTTTGATGAAGTTTACTTTTTTACATTTGAATACTACTTGAGTCCTCCTACTTTTAAAGTTCAAGTTTCACAACCATAGCAAACTTTTGCTCATTATATCCATTCTTTGTTTGTAAACATATATCTCGATTACGCCAAAGGTTGACACAAATTAGAAAAAGTTATCGAGCTCTCTGGATCCATGCTAAGATTTTGTCAGGCATCAAACCACCTGTTATAACCCAAAGCCGCCAATCAGAAGCAGAGAATTATCGATCGGACCAAGGACGCGTAAAACACGTGCGAGCAGCCTAGAGTCCTGATTGGCCCTGCTTCCTGCCTAGCCCAGCCACTTAAGTCCAGAACACAAGTCTCAGCCTCTGCGATATACATCATTATATTTCAAACATACTGAGTTCATATACCAATCAAACAGATCACAAAGTACCAATAAAATATGAAATAACATTTGTACAAGAATTAGCCAGATGTGGCTGTGAATGAGGGAGGTAGTAATTAATATACTGGGTATAACTCAAAAATGGTAAAACGTATAATAATAGTTTATGAGTCAAAATAAAGCTTAGAATAAAAGGAATATGAATATGGATAGTTTAGTTACTTAATAATTATACAATTGAAATATACGTTTAGTATTGGTCCATCAATAGATCGCAAAAGTTACCATTCATTATTCTTGTTGTGAAATAACACCACCAAAGCTGACGAGACAAGTCAAGTGGTCAACAAAATCAACTAATTCACTCCGTATGATTAATCTAGAGGGATAACTCAGACCATACCTAAAACATTATTTTGAATTTAGAAACTCAGACGAACCATAATTGGACTTTGTCAAAGGAACCATAAGACTGCACTTTTTCGGCATGCTTATACAGAACTATGTCATCTGCACATTGTGAGTCGATAAATGAACCGCATGGTTAGAGACCAATCACTATAAATTTAGGAGAAAGCACCATCTCTAAAAGAGTGTATGTGACAAGGATAAAGATGGTGGAAGTGGATGGTAAACCCTGAATGAAAAATGGACTGAAATAATTTGTTATCACGGTTTTCCTACCAATAATAGTTCCTTCAGAAGTCTTTGTGATGAAGTTTATTCAAATCCAAAGTATGCACTTAATGTAATCTTTTTTTCTAATTGACTTTTTTCCAGTTACTATTGTTGTGGTTTCTCGCTTAGTTTACCGAAAAGGTCTTGATTTATTGGTTGCCATCATCCCGTCATTATGTTCTCTGTTTCCGGAATTAAGATTTCTTATAGGTAGGTATGTTACTTGCTTTTTAAACGCTTTTCATAATATCCTTCTTATTCATTCGACTTAAAAAATTTAAACTGATTTATGGTAAATAAGAATATATAATGATTTAGGATTTTTCTGATCAAAACAGCTCGCTCATATTTAATATTAGGAAATCTTTTCCGATGTAGCCATTAATATTTCCCGAATTCCTACTGATTCCTAAATGTGATCAATGGTGATGAAACTGAAACTAAATATTGGGAATAATCTGTTTGTTCAAGACCATTATATATTAGGGGAATGATTGTTAAAGTCAGTAGCTGTACCGAAATTATAGTACCAGGTGCGTCTAACGAGATTTTTTTTATCTTGTGCCGACCATCTGAAAAATAAAGTTTAACTTCTGTAAAATATTATTTCGTGTGGACAAACATACCTCTTGTACATCTCTATCTTTGAGGTCTTATGCAAATTTGAATAATGTGTAATCAGGTTTTGTAACTGTCATTATTTGTTGTTCCAAACCATCACTAGGGTCAGGTAGCGTTGCCCGACTTCTCCGTCCCTCGCTAACACTACCATTTATGATATTTTAGGAACAGTGCCGAAGGTGGTACGTGTTAATAATACGGACATATTTTATGTAGAAATGTGGTATTTTTATTTTTCCATTACATACACGCTACCTAAATTATATTTAGGTAGTTTAAATCAGTGTTCATAATTATATAGCTTTTCATTAATATATTTCAGTGGTCGTGTGCAAGGTGGTCAAGGGAACTAGTTTACTTTGTTACTTAGTAACAAACCTTTGATGTTTTTGTTATATTTCTCCCTTACGGTTATAAGCCAGCTATTCATATTGCTAGTATTCTCGGACACCAATTCACTCGACAAGTCCCCAAATCAGAACACGGTTAGACAGGAAAGAGATTGTATTCCAAATAACAAGGTTGGATGGAAGTAAGAAGCACAATAAGAAAAACGTTAGTGTATTTATAGTTTTTACATGAGAAGATTTCTAGAGTATTCTCCGAGTATCGACTAGTGCTGATTGGCTAAGAATTAGCTAATCAGCATGTACCAAAGTAATCGTGCATTGAGCATGCTTTAATCAAGTCTATGTCCCGCTAACAGTTTTTGCACCAGTGGTATTGTGACAGAAGAGATTGGTTTTTGGATAGCTAAAGTTGCATATGTCTGTCCCAACTATTTTCATTAATTTCATGACAAGCTTGATCAGCAGTCAGATTTTTGAAGCATCTGATTTGGCTTACAACCTCAAGACATTTTTCAACCAGACTGATGGCATTCTGTGGATCCCTGTGCTTTGAAATCTCTGTCGCTGCATCATTACTCGCCTTTCTAAGATTACCATTCGAATAATATTGGCACCTGCTGACTAATTTTTTTAAGATGGCGATTATCCTTTCTTATAAATAAACTTATCCAACAACTCCAAATCGTTTGATTTTGACACATTCTGCATACTGTCTCAGGTGTTGCTATTTGCTAACATTGGGACTTTATGACACTAGCATAGAAACAGTCAGTTTATGTTATGGAGCCATGAAATGAGGAATAGTTGCATTGGGTGTGTATTTTTTGATGCAAAATAATTCTGTACATCCACCCTTAGTGATCATGTGATTGAACAGCTTCAAACATGACTGTATATGACCCAAAATTGTAGTCTTTAGTCTCCTAATATCTTTTACATTGACATCAAAACTTACTGTTTTACCCGCTTGATGGATATCCACTTTTTTAATGATTATTAAACCTGAATTTCACATAGTGTATCTAACCAGGCAAACCGATATTTTAAGTCTCATTCTTTTGCGCTAAGATCCTCATACTTATGGTCCGATATATATCCATGTGTTGAGCAAATGATGTTTATGAGAATGAAGCCAGTCTCTTTACTTTTCTTGTTCAGAAGATCCAATCCTTAATAAATGGTAAAATCACAGATTTATGTATGTAGTTATTGGCCTTGTTTAAAACAGTACATGGATTAGCATAGGTGTGAAATTATTTTGATGGATTCATATTCTCTGAACAGGGAAGTTTAATCATGAAGCTCTCTTTGTATTTTGATAACATTGTTAGCACAGAATTCAAATAGAAATGAGCTCTTTGAATTTCTGTCCATATTAAAGCGTCTAGTACTATGTTATGCCTACGTAGGTTATTCTAGCTTTTGCAAAGACCATATAATTTATTCTTCTCGAGACATTATCCACACATTATCTGACCTTTTCAATTATTTGCTTATAACTCTGATTGCTTTTATGTAGGTGTGTGTATCGCCTACTTTATTCATCATATCTTTAGCTTATTTTCCTGACTATAAATATTGAGTCGCGCTTTGTTGAATCGTACCTACTCCGTTTCACTTCGTTTTCCAGCTTCTCGTTTTGATATGTCTTAGCAAACAAGTGGATGAGATAAATTCATCTCACTCAATTCGTATTCGGCTTGTTATTACTGCCATCGCTGAAACGGGGTTAGCCCAGGTGTAATATACGGAATTCATTGGAAGATTTATATTCATTCGTTCGTTTAAATCGGAGTCAGATCTTGGGTCACGACAATATTTGTTTAATAGTTAACACTTGAATTTGATCGGTTCTTGTTGACACTGATCATATCATTCTACTGAAGTTTATCCCGATAGCATTGTGTCGAAAGACAATAAGAGCGTACCGATTAAACCACCCAACTCAGACAACGCATATGTGTGCCACATTATACGTTAATCTATTTAAATTCTATGATTTTAGGTGGTGATGGACCTAAAAGACTTGAACTAGAAGAGATACGCGAACAGTATCAATTACATTCACGTGTAAAATTGTTAGGAGGTTTACAACCTCATGAAGTTCGGCCTGTGAGTTGTTACATAGCAACGTTTATTTTTCGTGGTTTGTGTTCTTGTGGTTCAATACATTTAATTATGTAAGTTTTATATTCTAGAGAGACAGAGACCTATATAGTTAAAAACGAATATTTTGTATTCGTACATCAAGAATGATCTTACTAAGCAATTCTATTAAATGTTTGTCCCAGTTGAATATATTATTCACTTTTATTAACTAGCGCGAATCAGAAAATAAGACTGTTGACCCGTTGTTGTTACTTTGATAACGGGAAAAAAGAAGAGGATTTCGCGATTGTGAAACCATTTAAACGTTTTGTTTATTAGTACACATTTCGCAAGCAAGCAAAATCCAAACTTTGTGTGTTACCTTTATGATACCATATGCTCCGATTCGTGTTCGAAATTTAACCATTCCAATCCAGCCTATTGTAGTAAGAGCCACTGTAATTCCCAATGATTTTAACATTTCCGAAGACATTAGAATGATAAATGTTGACTAGAACACTTGATGAATCGAAGGTATCTTGTTTTCTAAAATATTGTAACTGTAGACATTTTTGGCTTGTAAATTGATATTGTTTGTTTGTTTAAGTGAGCTTCAATACTGTATCTCTGTTATTACTAGCAGCCCAGTTCAATATTTAACAGTATCACAACAATCTAAAACTAAAACTAATGAAAACTGGAAATCTTTTATGATCACGTAGTTAGTTCATTTCTAAGATAAACCTCAGACTTTGTAACATTTTGCCGTCTAACCACTTGTTGAAGTTAGTCATTACTTTTAACCGGCGGTTATCTATGTTGCATTGTAGTTTGTCTTCCTTATTTACTTACGTCAGTCTGACTTGTTTTAAATGTGACTACTTCCAGAAACGTCAGCTAAATAATCTTACTTCCTGTTTTCCCCATCTTGAATAAGTTCGACTCATATAAATCACAACTTAGCTAAATATAGTTGATATTCAGCTTTTTATTTTATTTCTTCCGTACCCTTCAATTCTTGTGTATCGTGTACAGCCCTAATAGAATTTAGAAGGGATAGTCATGACAATGACAAAATCATCTAGGTACCTTCAGCCTGTTCGAACTTCTGGGTCACCTCAAATGTGGATTTATTTCCATAAATTTTCCTGTTTCAAATTTGTTTTTACTTGTAATCACATTTGATAACCGAGATTGCATAAGGATTAGAGTGATATATATATATATATATATATATATATATATATATATATATATATATGCTTCGGTTTGAGCACCCGGGCAGTAGTATCCCGGCCCTCACACATATCAAATGAGATTTATGTGGCGCATATGTATTTGGTGCCTCCTTGTACCAATATATATGTGTTGAAATAAATAAAACAAAATATACGTATTTGCGCAAAGAAAATACTAAACTCATTACAGTACTGTCTTAACTTTGAACTTCTTTCTTGAATTTTTCTCGTTTTTCAGCTTTTAATACAAGGTGATATCTTTCTAAATACTTCTCTTACTGAAGCATTTTGTATAGCAATTCTTGAAGCAGTTTCATGTGGGTAAGTAGTCTACAACTATGTTCACTGTCGAGGACGAATTAAAATAATTGTAACTTTATTACTTACAACCGTTTTGATTGAAGGTATCATTTCCAAGGTTTGACTTGATAATTTCGAATAAATTGAGCATTGGGTTGATTGTTATAAATAAAAATAATATATTTGTAATATCCCAATGAGTAGAAAATCAGATTTTCTGACGTTTCGTGACTTAGTGTAAGCCACTTCTTCAGAGAATAAATAACCAAATTAAAATTAGTCCAAGTTTAAATAGTACAACGGAACAATGCAAGAATAATATTGGATCAATCAAAAACAGGTCTGAACAAGTTGATGTCATGTCATTTCTGTCAAGGTGATTCATAAGTGATATGTATGTAAATTTGTGTGTGTATGTGTGCATGGTTTAAGAATGAAAACTTGTGTGACCTTTATGGTAGGAAAGGATAGTTTAAATTTGTAATATGATAGTGTGAAATTGTAAATACGATCCAACTGAATGGTTAGGATAGATGGTCCAAGTAGGATGTATGGTAAGGCCTTCTTTTCTATTGAGAGAAGTAGGATTAAGCATTATATGGAACGCCTCAGCTACCTTCCTTTCTGTTATGACCTTGATGTCTGGCTTTTCTATCACGCGACTTATCGACCAGTCAGAATACGACTTATACAATTTTCGCACTATGCCAAACCAATGACGTTCAACCGGTATGAGCAGTCTAGCGTCCTGATTGGTCCTATGCCTTCCTAGCCCTTCCACTTGAGTCCAGAACACAATACCAGCTTCTGTAATATGAATCGAATCGAATCAGATCGAATCGTTTATTTCAGACATACTCGGTTTATATATCAATCAGACAGACCAGAACGTACCATAAAATAGAAAATAACATGTGTACACAAATAAGCCAAAAAGTGGCTGTGAACGAGGGGGAAAGTAATTAATAGACTGAGCATAGCTTAAGAATCGTAAATCGTACAATAATAAAATATAGGTCAAAATAAAGCTTATAATAAGAGGAATATAAATATACATAATCTAATTATTCAATAGTTTTACAGTAAGAATATTTATAGAATATTAGTCCATTAATAGTCCTTGGGAGTTACCTGTAATTTAATCTTCACTGGGTTATAACACTTTCTTCGTAGTTGGAAAAGCCTTTTTGCAATATTTTGATATTTTTAAAATCGATTTGGTGGTTGTTGAAAATGGCATGAACTGCTATTGCCGATTTAATTTGAAGTTGGTTCAATTCTACAGGATTGTTAGGAGGTTTCTTTCTGTACCTAATATGTTCTTTGGCTCTAGTCAAGATTTCGCGGCATCACAATCGCTACAACCTAATTTGTAGACGCAGTTCTGTGTGGACATGAAAGGGATTTTTTCTTTCAGGCGAACTAAAGTATTACGTAGTGTGTTCGTTGTTTTGTAATATACTTTAATTGTGTGATGTTTTAAGATTCTTTGGATTTCTTCTGTTGTGCCATGACGGTATGGTAGAACTGCAGTACCAATCCATGGCATTTCATTCGAATCATTATTATAACGTAATAAACTGTTTTGTTTTAATATGCTTCTAATAATCTTCATAGAAAAATGATTAAATTGTAAGATGATGATTACATTCATTTGTTCTTTTTGTTTGTCTTCCTCTTATGTGATGGATTACTTTTTACTAAGCAATCCAAGAATGGTAGCTCGCCATGTACATTTTCATTTTCATTGGTGAATTCACCAAATGGAAGTCTAAACCTATCCATTTACCGAAAACCGACGCACTCAAATCATTATATTGACTTTCATTCAGCACATCCTTTCAGTGCTAAGATCTCGCTAGCCTTTAAATCTTTTTAGAAGAGCTAACAAGATCATCACATCAGAGGAAGACAAACAAAAAGAACAAATGAATGTAATCATCATCTTACAATTTAATCATTTTTCTATGAAGATTATTAGAAGCATATTAAAACAAAACAGTTTATTACGTTATAATAATGATTCGAATGAAATGCCATGGATTGGTACTGCAGTTCTACCATACCGTCATGGCACAACAGAAGAAATCCAAAGAATCTTAAAACATCACACAATTAAAGTATATTACAAAACAACGAACACACTACGTAATACTTTAGTTCGCCTGAAAGAAAAAATCCCTTTCATGTCCACACAGAACTGCGTCTACAAATTAGGTTGTAGCGATTGTGATGCCGCGAAATCTTGACTAGAGCCAAAGAACATATTAGGTACAGAAAGAAACCTCCTAACAATCCTGTAGAATTGAACCAACTTCAAATTAAATCGGCAATAGCAGTTCATGCCATTTTCAACAACCACCAAATCGATTTTAAAAATATCAAAATATTGCAAAAAGGCTTTTCCAACTACGAAGAAAGTGTTATAACCCAGTGAAGATTAAATTACAGGTAACTCCCAAGGACTATTAATGGACTAATATTCTATAAATATTCTTACTGTAAAACTATTGAATAATTAGATTATGTATATTTATATTCCTCTTATTATAAGCTTTATTTTGACCTATATTTATTATTGTACGATTTACGATTCTTAAGCTATGCTCAGTCTATTAATTACTTTCCCCCTCGTTCACAGCCACTTTTTGGCTTATTTGTGTACACATGTTATTTTCTATTTTATGGTACGTTCTGGTCTGTCTGATTGATATATAAACCGAGTATGTCTGAAATAAACGATTCGATCTGATTCGATTCGATTCATATTACAGAAGCTGGTATTGTGTTCTGGACTCAAGTGGAAGGGCTAGGAAGGCATAGGACCAATCAGGACGCTAGACTGCTCATACCGGTTGAACGTCATTGGTTTGGCATAGTGCGAAAATTGTATAAGTCGTATTCTGACTGGTCGATAAGTCGCGTGATAGAAAAGCCAGACATCAAGGTCATAACAGAAAGGAAGGTAGCTGAGGCGTTCCATATAATGCTTAATCCTACTTCTCTCAATAGAAAAGAAGGCCTTACCATACATCCTACTTGGACCATCTATCCTAACCATTCAGTTGGATCGTATTTACAATTTCACACTATCATATTACAAATTTAAACTATCCTTTCCTACCATAAAGGTCACACAAGTTTTCATTCTTAAACCATGCACACATACACACACAAATTTACATACATATCACTTATGAATCACCTTGACAGAAATGACATGACATCAACTTGTTCAGACCTGTTTTTGATTGATCCAATATTATTCTTGCATTGTTCCGTTGTACTATTTAAACTTGGACTAATTTTAATTTGGTTATTTATTCTCTGAAGAAGTGGCTTACACTAAGTCACGAAACGTCAGAAAATCTGATTTTCTACTCATTGGGATATTACAAATATATTATTTTTACTTACGTTTTGACTGTAGTTATTATGACAAAAATTTGGAATCCGCTCAGCGTTAAGACAATGAATAATTATCCATGGTCTATATTTCGCTTTTTGGAAGACTTTTGGTTCATAAATAATTATTATACGCATAAGTGGTTGTAATTTAAAGTTTTTTTTCACATATTTTTGTGAAACGGAATCCTTGTGATAGATTTAAAGTTAACGTTCAACTCATGAGGCCACAGATTCTAATATGCGTCACTCAGTTTGATCGAAGGATCGAATGTAGAGTACCTTTATCGATTATGCTATAATTGTGACTTAAACTCAAGTGTAGGTACCTTGAACTAATGGCTAGTTTGTATTCGGTATGTAATTTAATTATATAGCAGTTTTGTACGATATTTTAAATGACGTCATTCATATCATCAGGAAGTTAGTTTTCAAATATCTGTGTTTTCGTAGCGTATATCTGAATCGGACATTCTTAAGAATGTTGTGTCTTATGACTGCAGATTATGAGCGAAGCGTATATTATTGATCGGATCAATGGCACGTAAAACACGCAAGGACGACCTAAATTCATGATTGGCCCTGCTTCGCTGTCTAGCCCAGCCAGTTGAGTCCAGAACACAAGTCTCAGCTTCCGAGTTATGAATCATTATATTTCAGACATACTCTGTTTATATACCAATCAAGCAGACCACATCGTACCATTAAATAGAAAACAAAATTTGTACAATATTTAACAAGTGAAATAAATACTGACAATAGGGAGTGTCCATTTCATGTCCAAGGACACCATTAGACTTAACATGATAATTATTGGTATATTTTTCCGAATATCCTAACAAAGAAAAACTCGATAACCCTTAATACTACATATAATTGTTAATAAGGAACTATCCTCATTGGATATTACCTTTGTAATCATGGATATATTTTCTCTATAATTAAACAGTCTTCATTGTTCTACCAAAGCAGCACACACAGGCCTTCCCATAGCTATCACTCCACCGACGATTGAAGAAATCCGCTTGACCAACAGACAAATTAAGAGTGGGAAAGCAACAGGACTTGATGACATATTAGCTGAAGGACTGTAGTCAGACATAGAGGCGATTGCAAACATGCTTCACGTTCTATTCAGGAAGATTTGAGAGGAAGAACAAGTGCCAACGATGAACCGGAAAGAAGGATATTTCATCAAGATACCATAAGAGATATCTAAACAAATGTGAGAGCTACAGGGGCATCACACTACTATCGGTAGCAGGAAAAGTTTTCAACAGAGTGTTGCTGAGCCGGATGAAAGACTCAATAGACGCACAGCTTACAGGTTAACAGACTGGATTCTCTAATGATTGGTGGAACACAGGCCAGATCGCCAAACGCTGGATCATTGATGAACAATCAATTGAATGGAACTCGTCACTATACATCAAATTCCTTGACTATGAGAAAGCGTTTTACAGTATGGATAGAAGAACTTTACGGAATCTCCTTCGACACTGTTGTATCTAAGACGATCATCAACATCATACGGAATTCATACTGCGGAATACAGTGGGAAGTCGTGCATGGAGGACAGATGACAGACCCATTTCAAGTGAGGACTGGAGTCAGACGAGACTGATTACTCTCTTCCTTTCTGTTCCCTCTGGTGGTTGACTGGGTCATGAAGACCTCCACACCTGAGGGGAATCACAGAATACGATGGACAACTTGGATGTAACTAGATGATTTTGACTTGACAGGTGACCTAGCCCTTCTATCGCATACACACGAACAAATGCCGGTGAAGGCAAGTAGTGTAGCAGCAGCCTCTGCATCACTAGGTACAAACATAGATGAGGGAAGAAGCAACATCCTCAGATACAACACAGAGAGCCTCAGCCAAATCACACTTGATGGAGAGACTGTGGAAGAGGTGTACACTTTCAAGTACTTGGCCAGCATCATTGATGAACAAGGCGGATGTGATGCATGTGTGAATGTAAGGATTATCAGAGGAAGGATGGCATTCCTACAGTTGAAGAACATATGGAACTCAAGACAAGTGTCAACCAATATCAGATTCAGAATCTTCAACACGGACGTCAAACAGTTTTAGTGTACGGAGCTGAAACTTGGAGATCAACTATAGCTGTCATCAAAATGGTGTGGGTCCTTGTGAACAATTGTGCATGCAAAATACTCCATATTCGATGACTGAATATCATCAGCAGCGGTCTGCTGTGGAAGAGAACAGACAAGCTTCCAGCTGAGGAGGAGATTACGAGAAGACGCTGTATCACTGCTTCCCCCAACTGGTATAGTTTTATTCACTTATCAATGTCATATTGGTAAATATCTATTTCGATTTAATTTATTTTAAAATTTGGACTTTTCATATAACTTAGAACTCAAATGTGTACGATTGATTAATTGTAGATTTTCTTGTAAGATATGCCATAATCTATTCAGCTAATCTGTGTGTTCAGTAATTGTATTGAAAAATTTTCTTCAGCTTAATGGTTATCAGTACAGCTGTTGGGGGACTTCCCGAAGTTTTACCCGAGCATTTTATTAGACTTGCACCAGCAAACGCTTCAGAATTAGCAACTATTGTTGCAGATTCTATTATTCAAGTTCGGCGGCAACGCGAGGATTCGAAACTTACAACTCATGAACAAGAAGCTATGGATAATTTAACCTCAGACAAGGTAATTTTTATGCATGTATGAAAACTAATTGTTTTCCTTATAAATAAAACGGGTTTTTTGTCCATTAAACATGTTCGCTATTCATCATATATCAACTAAAACCTGTTTGAGATTTTTAACCTTCATTGGGAGACGACTTTATATATACTTGAAAGTAACTGATTTCTTCTGGGCATATGATTTAAGTGAACGCGCTGACTAGTTTTACAACTATCAGTCACTAAACTATAGGTTACATCCTATTTCCCATCTACCTCATAGTTATCATACAAAAGTTGTATTTTAGTTCTTCCTGAACACTTACAACTGTATATTCACCATTTTATTATCCATAGTTGATGTTTCTGATTGTTAATTTGTCTTTTTTGAATATTTCTGTTAATCATGTTAAAAGAGAACTGTTTAATCTACGAGTGAAAAGATAACCACTCTTGATACAAAATATTTCATGTATTCATTCGCTTTTTAAAATTCATACTATGGCTTGTTTTATCCGACGAACCTAACTAAAATTTTAAAATGAAATCGGTGAGGAAAATTAGTGGTAAACAGGGAAGTTTTTAAAAAAAGTTGTTCAATACTGTAAATAAAATAATCTCGGCTCCTTTAAAGTACTTAAAAAGTTCTTTATTGGTCCTAAGTATACTAAAACGAAGAATCCTGAAGCTGGGATTCGGTGAACCGAAATGATCTTTGTTGCCGAAATATCACATCAAAACTTGGCTCTTCAGGGTTCTGTTGTGTATACATACATATACATTATACAATAACAGCTTAGTGTTACTTGCAAGGTTTCCTATTTCCCTTTTAAAATTATCTGGATTCACAAACTCAGTGGAAAATAGACTGGCATGTAAGACGAAAAATACTGGGTTCAAGTTTCATTTTGGAATTCATTACTGGAACTCAGGTACTACATTCAACCGCAAGACTCAAGTGAGATAAATGCTCATTCTAGATTCCACTGCTAGCTCTTAATCAACATCAATAAAAACTAAGTGCTATATTCGTATACATAAACATCAGTCCTTTTTAAAAATGTTATTTACCTACTCATTTTACAAAAGGTGAACATATGTACATCACCTCCGAATCCTCTTTGTCGATTTTCATTGGTCGCCGATCCATCTACACACTTTGATGGTACGGAATGTAATTGTAATTCACTTAATGATCATTGTTGGCATATGCATAAATGGATTCGTAGTATGTATTGTTGGCCTCTAGTTGCTAAACGTACGGAAAAAGTCTATTCTGCTGCTATGTCTAAACCACCTGTTTCACTACACGACAGAATCTCAAGGTAAGAATATAAACTGAATTTCCAAGTGTTTCTGTGATATAACTTAATTGATTGTAATCTTCAGCTTTCAGAACAAAAGTAAATATAGCTCTCAATAGAGGGATTTTCATCCGTGAGATATTTTTAATCTAGATCTCATTATCAGACTACATTTTCCAACATACATTTATTAATAACTTCGTTTCATCTGGCGTGAATAATATGAATAAGGATGTTTAATTAGTAGCATGGATAGTATGTCCAAAAGAAAGTAATATAGTTTTCTTCTGTTTCTCAGTAGGTTGTAGTTTGTTTTGACAATCATTTTATTGTACCGTAGTTTCTCAACTAATTAGTGTTATAAAGCCTGAAAATTAATCACTGTATAGAAATTAAATAGTTCAAGTAAACTTTGATTTCTTTCACTCAAATGACGTTAATCTTCAGAAGGTAAACGGATGACTATTAAAAGATATGACTAAAGATATCAGATTGTTGTATCTATACCAACTTGGTCACATGTGTTATTATTTCGTTCTGGAGCATTCAGTTATTCCTGTGCGAAGAATTAAAAAAAACAGTTTTATCATACAAACACACTGACTTAAATTCTATTTATAAATCAGCAATAGAAAGAAGATTTAGCCAGTCCACCTATTAAAAAGTACAAATAAGCACATTTCAAGATAATAAAAATGTATTCCTTGTACAAAAAGTGGATCGTAGGAATTATGGTTCTGTCTAGGTATCAAAAAGCCTTTTACTCATTCGTCTATAGTTTCTATCTTAAAAGTTTTAATTTACACGTTTCACTTCAGATAACTAAAGCTAATGTTTGTAAATATCAACTGTTCTTCCGTAAATAATTTGATTCTTGTATATGATAACTTGGAATTATCTGATATTCTAATTTTATTAAATTAGCTCATTACAAAATCCATAACTTCGACATGTACTGTCATTTTGAAATAGATCACTAAGATAGTCATAAAAATTGGTAATTCGTGCAAAAGAATAACCATAATGATTCTTCCATAACCTGCATTTTCACCTTCGATTACTCTATAACTTAGGTGTGACGGCGACATATTTTTTATGCGTTTGGAAAACATGGTCCTTCCAAGTTGAGGATGTTAGGCGATTATGTGTTCGATCGTCTGTCTCCGGTGGCAACACCATGTGAGTAATGTTGGAGTTCACAAATGCGTGTTCAAACCTAATGATGATGATTCACTTATTATCACCACTTCAAAACACTGACTTCAGTGGCTTAGACATGTCTCACGAATGTTACACAAGCAGCCTTTCCTTCTTGCGTTATTTATCAACGCTAGAACTAGGTGGGAAAATCGATGACACGGCGACTCAGAGGTTTAAGAAGTTATATTGTTCAGACTAGAAGCTAATAATGATCGTACTGTAGTTTCTTTTTCGCTCTTCATAAAATTAAAATGATCTTAATTGAGATCATGAACCTATCAGTTTTTCCACCATTCAGAACCTGAAGGCATTAGGCGGCTGTTTCTTTCTAGTATGGTGTTCCTCTGCACTGCACACCCACGACTCAGCACGCGGTACTCGAACCCAAAACACTGGGCCTCGCGTGCGAACGCTTAAAGTCTAAACAACTAAGCCGGCATCCAACGGTGTTAATGTTTAACTTCAACCAATCCACGACATCGCGTGACCATTCTCCATTGTTTTAGTGGGTAACTGCCTCACACCTGACATGGCTGAACTCCACTGGTCAGGGCTTCTCCACAACCCTATACTGATAAAATGATTTTCCTTGACTGAAAAAAGTTTTTGTTAGTTATATTTTTATTTGGATTAAATTTCTTATTAAATACTATTCTTGTTTATTCACTTGATTATACTACCCTTTTCCCCATTATTTCTTCAGAGTATATTCACTTCACTCGTTTGGCACATAGTGTTTTCGGTGGCATATTGTATTAGAATCCATTACTTGTCTAAATTTTTTAGGTTTAAGCAGTTTTCACAGACATTATCTCAATTATTTTTTCAGGATTTACCAAACTTTGAACTAATTTTGGTACTATGTTATCTAAATTGTTGGAATCAAATGTAAGATGCTTTACATTTGTGCATATATGTGTTTACCATTTGTTATGTTCTGGTTTACTTCCTTTTAATTCAGATTGTACCAACTTGGTCCACTTACTGGGAAAATAACATGTTTTTCCGCTATTTTACACTGGCTTCTTCTTCAATTTATATCATGGCTTAGACCTGAACAGGTTTGTTAGTATACTTTGACAAACTGAGATGTAGTTATTTTTCTTTACTTTATTTGGGGAATTTTATCAGTTAATTCACTTCCTTTTGAGGAAATGTGAGAATGAATGATAGTTTTATCACTGTTTTTTTGAAAATTATTCATGCTAAAGCTTCTAAATGATCCAATAAAATTAAAATAACTAAGTTTAGATAAGTCAGAACTGGTTCCAGAAAATTTGTTAGCTGTACGAATGCACCAAATGAAATCCAATCTGTAATTATTGTGTAATAATTTACAGTGTATTAAGCAACATTATCTATGAATAATTATTTTTTGTTGTATAGATACCTTATACATTTTTTCACCTCTTGATCAATAAAAGACTGCATTGAAAGGCGTAGTGCCCGTAGCTGAGTGACGTAATTTTATTTGACGGTTATTTACTTGTAGCCGGACTCACTAAGGTAGGGTGGTGATTTTGGTAATTCGAGTAATTCATTTAACAAAAGCTGAATACTGCCTTAGGAATGAACTTGGGTTTTACTACTTGGACAACTGATGACTTTGCACTTAAAACTACACTGAATTACATTAATGAAAGTCGTGTAAACACTACATAACATGCAGATATTAGAGAAAAATGAATCTTTCATTTAAGGTAATTCATAACTCTATAATATTCACTGAGTAAGCTCTTTTCCTTTTATCTCTGTCTTTCTAAATACACTGATAGTAACTTAGTTATTAAATGAGCACTTCGACTCACGGACACAGTTGAATACTGTCATAATGTTAGATAGAATACTAGCCAGGTCCCAGTCTCACTTCGAAATAAATTTTCAAAATAAGGTTAATTTAGATATTATGATAGTGTTGCAGAAATCCTTCAATATTTACAGATAGTATCTGTAGAGTAGACTATGGAGAAATGATTTATCTGAGAGCTGAAAAGCTTCTTCATGTTTATATTTTATATTCAAAAGTTCAAACGGTTTCTTCAAAATAGTTTTATTGTTATTTCAGTAGATTTCAAAATGAGGTAAACAGTGGTCTACTTAAGATAATGTGCTAAATATCATTAGTCAACTACTACTCTAACGATCACCACTGGATCAGCACTCGAGTAAGAAATAAGACCATGGTACATACGTAAATGTATTGAAATTAGATTAGCCCGGTTAGGTGCTCATAAACCAATTGTTATTTCTTGAACTAATTTTAGTAATTCACAGATAAAATCACCTTTTTCTAAACCCATTTACCTGAAATTCAGTTCTTTACGGTAATCTATTTTATTATTCTTTAAAATTCAGATAATCGATATAATGCCATCACTTGAAACACCTATAGAAGATTTCAGTGATAGTGAATGTGAGGATTTTTCTGTTGATTCACACAAATAATATCCACGTTTATTTCACTTGTATCAAACTTATAACTTTATAATTCTCCTGTGCATAATTTTACTTTAAATGGAATTGTTTTATTTTTTATTTATTCGTTAGAACGTAATCATTATTCTTCTAAAGATTTAAACTCAAATTGTTTGTTGTTGTACTCTGGAATTTTACAATCAAAAAAAGGTTTTCATTTGCTATGTAATAGCCAAGATAATATCCCTACGAAATTCGCGCTAATGGTGTTATTTTCGATTAGAATTTTGGCTTATCACATAAGACATATAGTTCATTAAATTACATATATATATATATATATATATATATATATGGCATTCATAGTTTATTGTTCTTGTTGTCAAGACCTGTCCACTTTTCAAGTATACATATAATTACTTTTTGTAGTCTTAAAAATTATACACGATGATATCCAATAACTGAGTCCCTTTAGCAAAAATAGTATGATTATAAAACGGTGGAATAAGAATGTAAACCTTGCCAGTACTAGTACACGTAAAATAACCATATAGACATACAATAAACATCCAAACTTATCTTAAGAAAGTATTAACTGATCATGAGTATAGTGCCATTTATACATGAATAACCAAATGATAGAACACATGATCTTTCTCTCACTAAATATAGTCGGTCCCGTCTTGTCATACTAACCCCCACATTCACATGCGAAGTTTCCTTAATGTTTAAAGTTGCAACATTTTCTTCCACGAAGTTCCGTGTTCTTTCTCAATTCACAAATAGCTCATGAAATCTGTGGACCCTGACTAACTATAGCCGATTATAATAAACCTATACTGCTGTGTGGTCTTTCTACCAGTTTTAAGTTTTAATATCCTAAATTTATTAGCATTGGAATGTTTATCCTTCCTCACTTGTAGGCTTTTTCATATTCTTTGATAAGCTATTTTTCCTTACCATCTCCAAACCGCATATCATCTGGCCGGAATCTTATAATTTATGCCATGAGTTAACTTTGTGATATACTAAATGAATATCTAACCCACAATATAGAAGCTTTAACTGTTTAATTTACTTGTAACATGGAACTAGTAGAGGCAGTGCATCCCAACAAGGTGTGCAGCGTGGTTAGGTTAAGGCAGTATTCAAACATACCACAAACATAAGATAGGCTAATATCGTAGGAGAAAGGAGGGTGGTGTTTCTGACCAGTAAACGTTTTACTTTCTTACGGCTTTTTATGGTCTACCGGTATTTCACTGGTTGATGGTATTGTTAATTTCCTATGCCAATTATCACTTTGATTTCTGCTTGCAATTTTAAATTGGTTTCACATCCCACTGAGAAATCCTATAACAAGCTGAATTGAACGGTCGCGATAAAAATGATACTGTCTTAGCTTTATGAAAGTAATGACAATAATTGCCATGAAATGAAAAGGCAACATTTCATTTGTGCATCCAGACTCAATATTTCCCTTACTACATTCAAGCGGTTTACATAATGTTTAGCATTTCAGCTCACTTGAATACCCTTCGTTCATACAGTTCTGTAAACATTCACTGCAGAGCTGCTGGTTTGTTTTTCATGAATTGTCCAAGTACACAAACCTAACAATAATAATTCCAAACAGCTTCAGCATGAAATTAACAGTACTATACAAATATATGGTTATTGGGCGAAGTCGCCTTAAATGTAGTGATCTCATGCTATTTCTGGGGATCAGACAATGTTGTCCCCCATTGTATAGGTATAATTGAGTTACTTCGGTAGACAGCCAACGGAGTAAAGGAAATTAGTACGGCAGTTCGAGACGTACCTGCAGTAACAAGTTGAAGGTAGCTGTCAAGGGATGTATGATGATGGACCCTTTTGCTGGTTGTAATAAATTACGAGAAGATTCGAAGCTATCATTTGGACAGCTTCATGTAATTGCTTGGGTAGACATGGAAAGCTTGTTTATTGGTGTGGACATTGGTTATAATGTTTCTGAAGTTACCGAAACTGGCTGTGTGGGAAATTGATTCTGGAACGAACAAATTATACTGCCGATTAAAACGCATTAATGATTTTTAAAGGAGTCGGAAGGTTGTTGCTCCAGTTACTGCAAGTACATTGAGTAGACTTGGTCGATAAAGTGACGGAAAATGGTAGAGGTCCCGCGTTTGTCAAAATCACTAACTCTGTAGAGTCCCTTGCCAGAGTCGAAAGTAATGGGTTCGGACGGTCGCCAACCCTTCCCAGAAGAAGGCACAACGTGAAGGTGAGTCGTCATTTACAGTCTGAGTAGTTCCGTAGTAACACGCGGGTACAGTATGTGCTCCAATTGTAGTGCCATTTAACAATGACTTTTTTGGTGCTGACCGATCGCCGCAAGCGAAAGCCGGGAGTATTTGCCTCTTTTTTATTAGACAAGAACATAGGTCCACTTAATGCAGATCATCAAAGCGATGTGACGTTAGAGCGCATAACGGTATGCCATTTTATGTTACATAGTGATTCACAGGTCAAAAGCCCAAATGACAGTCCTGTCGAGGAGTCATTCAAGATCGGAAGATGCAGAGGAAGCAGGGTATGCTTTTTCAATAACAGCCATAATACAATATTGCTAAGTTGGCGTTGAGGAAAGACCAAGTGCCAATAGTAATGCAGATGGTTAGTAGTAACAAAATAGAGAAAGCTACATATGAGCCTTTTGATGTGTGCTCATTAAAAAACACAATAAAACTGAAAGAGATTCGATCGTAAAAAGGAATACAGGAAATAAGCTTGCAAAATCTGTGGTGAACAATTAGAGGGACGTTTCTGCGTTTATTGAACTTACCATTAAATAGCTCCGACTCTGGCGAGTTTCTACTGTTGATTCGTTGTGATTTACGGTAGGACAACGGGTGTCGGACCGGAACTTAGGGGGATGGAGACACTAATTCACCACTAAAACTACTATGATGGACCCATGTCATATTCTGAACTTACAAGGGGAATTGTAAATTACATTTCTTCTAAGACTAACCGCGCAGGCACTGTATCATTGAGTTCACTGACGTATATTCAGTTGATAAGTCACTATCAGTAGATGACACAACTGCCGTAAAGAAATGATCGTATTTTGTTAATTTTCATGTTGTTCCGATATCATGGAAAGGGAAACATAGATTACAGAGTTTGAGAGTTGGTTGTTTGCAAGCCAAGTACACCCAGTGTTGAAAATAAATATGCTGATGTTTACATTGGGATAACCGTTAGTAAAAAGGCCCATGGTTTCAGTCGCCTTCCAAACAGTGATTTCACCTCCCTTCATATTACTGACGACAATTCTACATATCGTTTCTTTCATTGACCGATCGTCGGTAGCCAAATTTCTGTACTCATACTTTCTAGCATAGTTTATTGAGAAAACACGATAATAAATTTGGCTACCGTAGATGCACAATAACCTTAATTATACGAGGCAATCCCATCTGCGTTGCTACAACGTTAACTACATTTTTCGCGTGTATAGTGTTGTATGTTCGTCTGTCAGTGACCGTAAATTTGTGCTATTTCTTAAACTCATCTCTCAACTTCAACCCTCTTTAAAATAAAGTACTATGGCAGCCTTTCATGTTTGACACTGTTGGTTGCCACATGTCTCTCATCTATTTCACTACCTTCAACATTAATAGTCTAAAAGAAACAGCTGGCTGTAGTTAGGCTGGACCATGGGAGTAATAGCAGTTTGTAACGGCGACTCACCTGCTTGGTGTTGTAGCGCTCAAAATCAATAGATCCGTAAGTCATCGACGTTGGATGCTGACCATATTCGTTTTAATGGACTCACCTAGCTGATAGCGCTCGGTAATGCATTGGATTGTATTCGCCGACATTTTATTTTTCACTCTATTTCGGTGCCCGTAGAGATTTCATCGGTTCATAGAAAAGCATTTTGAATCTGACAGGCATCCTTTGTTCGTTTCACTTCATTAATTTGCAGCATGTGCTTTGAAGCAAATGATAATAACTGTTAAATTCCAAATAACAGTAAGTCGTATCAGAGGCTTACCGTATTAAGTTCAGGATAAATATGCTATATGTTGTAGAGGTAAATAAATCGCCGAAATCAATGGCTCTGCAAGTAACATTTCATACTGATCACATTAATTTTAATGAACTCACGTAGCTAAAGACGCTCGGTCATGCATCCGCACCAAATCTTGGGTGAGAACGCCATGCTCAACATCTATCGCAATCACTAGCCAGATTAGATCAGTCGATCCACGATATATTAATGGCCTATCAAATATATCTTCAAACCTTCTCGCTTCTGTCTTTTGATTTCACTTTGCTGGTATGATTCATATTAGGTGTTACTGGTTAAAGCGTTGTCAAACTCCAAATACCTGTGGCATCTTCAGCGTAAGGCTTTTGGAAAAGTGGAGCGGAACTAACTGTTCTTCGTCCTGTGTTTATATGACATTAAAATAAGGCCTAAACATTGGTAATGGAATGTGTGGTGAACTTGACTGTCATGCGAAAAACAATAATAATTACGTCTAAAACGCCTGAACGATACCGTGCATAGTAAGTTCTTTCTCCTACAACTTCATCACACTGGCTTTAAGGTTCTCCTCCATAACTTCCAATGAGTTTAAGAGAAGCACCGTTATTCCAATTGCTCAGGGTTTTTCCCAAAATCCGGAAATTTGGCCCTGATGAGATGTACATAAGTTGTCGGCTCAATTAGCTCTCAGCTAACTGTTACTTCCTAATTAAATGTATCGATCCAAATAATCAATAACTTTAAATCAAAGGTCCCTTTTATTTCCATGTATAATTAATGTTACGAAATTCGACTAAACGTTGTCCGCCACATACAACTTCTATAAAGCGCGTTAGTTCTCATATTGAAAATGAGAGCATAAGTTTTCCAGATGATTGTGAACAGAAATGAAGATTTCATTTAAGGACCTTCCATATCTAAGAGCAGTAGATCAGTGATGTCTCTATTTATGAACCTAGGTAAATTTGGCAGAAAACAAGTAAGATGT